ATCAAACAATCTAATTAATACAAAATTTTTTAAATTAAACTGCCCTACCCGTTGGCACAGCATATTAATAATTCTATAAAGTGTTCGCAGTGTAAACAAAATTCCTATAAATAATGTTCTTAATAAAATAGGAAAACAATCTTTAAAACTCTATAATAATGAATGAGATATGATTGATGAGCTTTACGCAGTATTAAATCCATTCGTAGAGTTGGTGGAATTTCTTTCCTCCCAAAAGGGATCGACAATTAACTTAGGGTTATTACTTCGCAATGAAATTGAAACCCATTTACAAAGCTATAGATCTAATTGCTCAGTTATCATTTGCTTAAAAGAAAATATGAAAAAAATCTTGACTATAGGTTTCCCATTACTGAACACCAAGTTATTTTATTAATAAAATTATATTTTAAACATTAAATATTAGCGACTCTACTTGATCCCAGATTTCGAAATCTTAAAATTGTTTCAAAATATTTAAATTCGAATTCTACATCATTGCAATTTTTAATTAAACATTTAAAACTTTTAGAGCATGATAGATGTTGTGATAATTGGAATCATAGGCGTAGCCAGGGGGGGGGGAGACAAGGGAAATCCCCCCCTTCAGAAATTTATCACTTTTTGTGAATATCATTATAAGCTAATAAAAAATATCCCCCTTAGTCCTCCCCCCACTCCCTGACCCCAAAAAATGTATGCATATAAATTAAACAATAATTTGAAAGAAAGAATGTAAAAGTTAATATTTTTTTATAAAAATATTCATCATAATTTTACATTTTTGGGAAAAAAGCATTTATATATAAAAAAAAGTGAACCAAAAATGCTTTTTAAGGAATAAAATATAAGATAAGTCTTAAGACAAAAGTGAAATTATTATAATTATTAATAATAGATCCATAAAATTCTTAAATAATATAATATATCAAATATAATTATATAAAGTGAGTAATTTTAATTTATTTATCTTAATAAAAGTAAAATATAATTATAAAACTATTGATAAAATTAAATCATAAATTAAATAATTAAAGGAAAATACAAACAGTGGATTATTATATATCGTAGATTTACAGTATATCTAATATTATGAATTATCATATGACAATCAATTAATTTGTACCAATATAGCGAATTATATATTTTACAGAATATAAAATATTGATAAGGGCATCAGAAAATATCTTTTAAAGACATTGTGAGATAAATAATATGAGGATAAATTTTTAATATTTTATTTAAAATAAATAGATGGCGTTAAATAATTGAATGCATATGTTGCTATATTTATTATCAAGAGCATTGATTAGTAAAATTTGTTAAAATATTAACTGTAATATATTCTCTAACTATCAAGTATGTCTGTAAAAGTTGAATATTACCTAGTATTTTGTAACTAATTCTATATAATAGAGGAATATCAACTATATGACTACTTACTTTTTCTAAATAAATTTCTTATACTTGTTTGGAAATTATTACCATGCTTTTATATTAATGTATATACAAGTAATTTATATTTTATATAAACTAATAATAATATATTTCATATTTGTTCCAGGCTTATTTTTTTTATTAAAATTAACCTCCTATCTTGTAAAAATATTTTATGACTATATATAGAATAATTTAACCTGGCCGAAGGCCCGCCCAAATAGAGGTCTGGGGGCGAAGCCCCCAGTAATTTTTTAACACTCTCCCCCTTAGGAAAATCATGGCTACGACTATAATTGGAGTGATATTATTTTGTTTGCATTTAATTAAATAGTTTTGTTTATATAAATACGATTACTTACGGAAATTTTTTTTTATATATAAAGTTGAATATCTAGAGTTCATGTAAAATTTGAATATGTGACGAGATTATATAATGTAAATTTTAGTAATATAAATATAGCGATAAAAAATTGTAATATTATGAAGAAAATTTTTTTATAATTTTTAGTTTGACTTTGACTTTGATTTTATATTTTTAGTTTGACTTTGATTTTATATTTTAGAATTTTATATTTTTACGTTTTAGTTTAATAAATCAAATGGTCATCTTCAATTAGTGTTCATATTAAATATTAAAAGTCTAATAACAGAAATGCACAGAGTGAGATTCAAGTTGAAGATAATTGGCAAACATCCAGTTCTTATATAACTAAAATAGCTCGTAAACATTCCCTTCCAAGCACTATTATAACAACATTAGTAATCTAAAATAAGAAAGTAATATTTTACTCAGCCAACATACAGAAGAGGATGCACATTAATATTTTAGAAGAAAAAGCAACTGAAACTTCCTAGGCTTGCTAATTTAGCTAAGAAGGTTCTTTGTGTACCTGCAGCCAGGGCACCCAGCGAAAAATTTTTTTCCATTGCTGGATTAATACTCAATGCAAGAAGGATTTTTTCATTATGTCACGAATCCTGATAAAATATGATTTATTCATGACAATTTTAATTTTGATAAATCTGAATTCTAATTTATTATATTTCATACTTTATATTTTACTTGCATTCCAAATTTATATTTTAATTTGTTATAATAAAAATTAATAGATTATTACTAATATGTGTTGTTTATGTGACTCTGATCTGAGTAAAAAAAATACATAAATTAAATTGGAGTGAGAGAGAAAATAATTTAAAAATACATAAATTTAAATTGGGGTGAGAGAGGAAATAATTTAAAAAATGAATTAAACTATGTTAAATGTGTTAGAAAAGTGGGCCCAAATAAATTATAAAAAAATGTAATACTTTGAAAAATACATTTATTTATAAATTAAATTCATTAAAAAAATGTTTTTAGTAAATATCACGCCGCCGCCGCTACCGACAATTTAGTAGGCAGCGACAAAACTGGCGCGCCGCCTAAAGCCGATTAAAAATTAAAAAATAAAGCCGCCGTCTATAGAGACATCGGCGCACATGTTTAATTATACCATACACTGGAGAGACATCCCACAATTAAGTGGGCACTCTACCGCTCTATAGAGAGCGTCTTCAGTGCAGGGGATTTGCATCCATATATTTGGCAGTAATTTACCTTACTTTCAGGGTCCGTTTAATTTAAGAGGACTGACGGTACCTCTTGTGGATAAGCTAGGATCTACTAATTGACAGTATTTTATCCTGCTGGAAGGGCCAGTTTAATTTAAGAGACTGACGGTACCTCTTGTGCATAAGCTAGCATCCACTAATTGATAGTAGTATACACTACTATCAGGGTAAAAAATAAGAAATTTTTATATAGTATTAATGTATTATTATAGATATGTATTTATAAAAAAGGGATATGTGATTATGGTAAAGGTAATAGAAATATAAGGTGTAAGGAATTAATAAGTTGAATATCTTAGAATGAGATTGGGTAGTTATATATTAGAAAAAAAGGGAGAGAGTGTGATTGTTTAAATAGTTGTAGAATAATAATTATCATTGTTTAATTAATTAGTTTATTTATTTATATATTAATATTAGTTATAATTTATTTAAGAAATAGTATTTATTAGAAGAAGCAGATAATTTGGTATTTTAGAAAAAAAGAAAAAGAAAAAAACAGATGATTTAATTTAAGGTTGGGAAGTATAATGTAAATTTTTATATTATTAATAATAAAATTGTTTTTTGTAAGAAGAAAAAAAGCAGACGAGTAAGGAGGAGAAAAAAAGTAAATTATTATAATATTAATTAAGAGATTATTTATAGAGGTTTAGTTATTTTTTATGAAATAGTTGTAAATTGGTAATTAGATAGGGAGAAAAGGATGTTCTTTATAAATTGATTGATAAGTATACTTGTTTGAGGAAAAGGTATTTTGATATTTGAAGGTGTTAACGATAATAAATTTATAATGTTACTTGATATTAATTATTGGTTGTAGTCTATGAAATTATATATACATTATGATTATTAATTTGATGAGAATTAGAGAGTTAATAATATAAGCGATATGTAGATAAATAATGGTGAAGAATCGGTTGTAAGGTTAATAGGAAATCTATAAATTAAGATATGATTAAATGAAAAAAATCGGCCTGGTTCTTGAGATGGAAGTAATATTATATCGTAAATAATGATATATGTCCCATGTATATCTGTTCCGCATTTGAAATGTATATGAAAGGATAACAGAGATTTTTAATGATTCATGTTCTTGTCGTTTCACAAAAAAAGCCACTTTTGAATTCTAAAATAAGATATGCATTTAATTCTTTCAATAGAAAGAAAAAAGGCTTTCAAATTAAAATGTATTATATAGAAAAAAATCTATAAAACACATTAACTTTATTTCTTGCTTTCACTAGAATCCGAACAAAGGAGTTCCATCTCTTTACATTATCCATAATTATTAATTGATTGACATTTGTTTTATATTCGACATGCAAAACTTTTATAATTGTCATATGACATTGTATAAAATTATAAAATCTTCAAATTTACATTTAAACATTTTGATTGACATTGGATATTATATAAGGTTAAATTTACATATAATGTAAAAATACACAACTACAACAGCAACAAGCAAAGATACCCTATTATTTTAAGTACTGCTTATAAACACATATGGCAACAATCATTTACCATGATGTTGTTTTGGAAAAAGGAATAAAGAGATTTACAAGGAAAAAAATTTTAAAGGTAACGAATACGAAGGGTGGGGTGTGTTTTGGGTGATTTTTTAAATCTTTTAGTGATATTAACGAAAAGCGGCAAGATTTTAAAGGGAAGGGGGAAGTGTTCCTTTATAAATCCCTCCCTTCCCCGCCTCTTGTTTACTCTGTGTAATTATAAATTTGTTAAAATTTCTTTTTTTGAAAGGTGGACGCAGCTTAACTCTAGCCAGATTAGCTAATTCATTTTTTATTTGGTATTCATAGAAACAAAATTTTGAATTCCATTACTACCAAACATAATTATAAGACAAAAACATTATATTCAAAAATTTAAAAATGTCAAAATATCCATAATTAATTTCATTTTTAGACATTCTGAGTAATTAGCATTTACTAATAGTCAGCTGATTTTCAAGTTTTAAATGAGTACATTGCTTGAATATGAATCTCAATTATTTTTAGATTGTTACCACGATGATGGTCTATTAATTTTAGCCAAGTATGCCTATACTCGTATTTTCTTTTTTATATATTATTTATAGGGGTTTGGGAATTAATAGAATATTTTTGAACTTTCTAAAGCTTTACCTTGACCATGAAAATTTAGTTATCATTTTGAATAGTTCCCATTTGGATGTTGAATACTTTATAGACAAACTTAAAGAAGATGGTGAGATGTTTTTGCCTAAAATAATTAATAATGAAACATCTTCTCAAAAGAGGTTTAATATGTTCACTTAATAAATCCTGTTTCTATAATTTCTTAAAGAAGTGCCATATATCTTGAAGGTGGTGTGCTTTTTGTGTCCACCAGAATTTTTATTGTTGATATGCTCACTGAAATAATATTAATACCATCTATTACTGGAATACTAGTTTACAATGCTCATAAAATTGCTGGAAAATGTCAAGAAGTATTTGCTCTAAAGATTTTTCGAGAAACAAACAAAATAGGGTTTATAAAGGCATTTTCTGATGTGCCACAAGCTTTTAACAAGGGATTTTTAAGTCTAGAAAATGTAATGAAGAGATTGTTTTTAAGACATTTACATCTATGGCCAAGATTTCATTCTTCAATAATATTGTTTTTAGAAAATCATAAACCAAATGTTATAGAAATACAAATTAAACCTACAAAATTGATGAATGAAATTCAGATTTCAATTATTGAACTTATTCAACTATGTATAAAGGTTAATAACTTTTCTTTGGGTGATATGAATTGTAAGGAAATGACTAAAATGCATGCCCTCAAAAACTAAGCACCCCTACTATTAAAGAAGCTCAATTTAAATTATATTAATAGATAATCGTATTTAGCTCTATAAGATGAGTTAAAAAAAATTTTTTAATTAAAAAAACAATGGTAACATAGTAAAATTATAAAAATATTATTTTTTTACATGACTAAACTATGCACCCCCCTATCAAATAAGCTTAATTTATAAAAAATAAATGCAGAATCATATATAGCTTATTAAAAAGAAGCAAAAAATGTTAATATTATATTTTAAAACTTTTTATAATCTAGTGGGCATTTGAAAAAAAAACACTTTTTTTTTGACAAGAAGCTTAATTCTTAAAAAATAAAAGCATAATCATATTAAGCTTATTAAAAGGAATCAAAAAATGTTAATATTAAGTATAAATGATTAATAAATTATTGCGATTTTGAAAAAACACTTAACTTCTTCCTTTTTTTTGACTAAACTACTTGCCCCTACTTGCCCTCGGTAAATATACATTATTTTTAAAAAATGAATAAGAATCATGTTTAGCTTTTAACAGAGACCTGCAGAGGTACCATTTGCACGGCCGGGCCCGATTTTAAATTTTTTAGGCCCGGCCCAGATATTTTTAAAAAAAATTTTTTACGGCCCGGCCCGGATTTAAAAATTTAAGGCCCAGCCCGGCCCGGATATTTTTTAAAAAAATTTTTTACGGCCTGGCCCGGATTTAAAAATTTAAAGCCCAGCCCAGCCCGGATATTTTTTTAAAAAAAAATTTCAGGCCCGGCTCGGAATTTTTTAAAATTATACCTGGTATATACAAAAATTCACCTATGAGGTATTTTACCATATTTTTCAGCGAGTATTATCGCTTATTATTTAAAAAATACATGTAAAAAGCTAATATTTTGAGAATATTATATTGAATTTATAAAAATTATAAAACTGTTATTTATAATATTTTGAGCATATATTATATTTTATATTGCATTTATAAAAATAAAACTAATATTCATAAAAATGGTAATAATATTTGTCATATACTATATTTTATATTACATTTAAAAAAAATAAAACTAATATTTAATTTATAAAAATGGAAAATATTTTGAGAATATAATATACTGTATTTAATTTACTATTTAATTTATAAAATAAAAATAAATCGCTATTTAAAAAAATGCATGTATAATAAATAGTATTTTGAAAATATAATCTAATTGCACAATATTAATATAATTTATTTTATAATATAAATTTTTAACAAAAGAAGATAATTGTATTATATAATATTGTAAAAAAAAATAATGAAAAATGTTGGATTAAAAACTTTCATGACTCAAGGTAAATATAATAAATTCAATAAATATTTGACAGTTTGCAAAGTAAAAAACCAGCATGATTGATGAAACCCTATACTCAAGAAAGATATTAAAAATTCACAAATTATCATGAAGAAAGAGAAGCATATCTACCTTTTCAGGTTGAAGATTACTTCTTCTTTCTTCAAGAATTCTCCCAGTAGTGGAAAAATTCCGCTCACAGCTTGCACTTGAAGCAGGAATTGCCAATACCCGTTTTGCCAATTTTGCTAAAATTGGAAATTCGCTTTGATGAGCCGCCCACCACTCTAACAAATTATTCACCTTAAATGTTTCATCTATTTTTTTATTTTTTTATTTATGTAATTATAATATTCATCATCGGGTATTGACATATTACCAGAATTACCATCGCCCCATTTGTCATAAAACGATTCAGTTTGTTTAACAACAGTCGTAATTTGACTGGTCGATGGTATTTCATTTACTTCCTGAGCCTCTTGTAATTTAATATAATCTTTTATATAGTTTTCCGTCATTTTGCGATCTGTCCCTGACTACATACGTAATTGCTTGAATTTGGGACAGAGAAAAAGAGAAATAAAATGATACTTGTGTAAAACAAATTTTTCAATTAAAAAATGCTTTATATTAAGTAAAATCAATTTTATTTTTCCTTTTCGCTTTGAAAGGTATTACAAACTTTAAGAAGTGATATTCCTTTATTTGATTGTTTTGGTAAAATATATTCTAAAAATTTAGATATGAATTATAAATATATTAATAATACTTGAATATTGGGGCTTATTTATGATATTCCTTTATTTGATTGTTTTGCTAAAATATGTTGTAAAAATTTAGATATGAATTATAAAAAAATATATTAATACTTTGAATAAATTTGCAGGAAATTAATAATTAGATCGATCTGTGGGTTGTTAGGTAGTGTTAACCATCACCCAATATTATATTAATCATAACTATAATATAATATAATCTTATAACCATTAACTCATAATGTAAAAATTTTTATAAAAAATATTAAGGCCCGGCCCGGCCTGGGTTTAACAATCTTAGGCCCGGCCCGGATATATTTAAAAAAAAATTTTTTAGGCCCGGCCCGGATATGTTTAAAAAAAATTTTTTAGGCTCGGCCCGGCCCGGGTATATTTAAAATACGGCCCGGCCCTGCAGGTCTCTGGCTTTTAATAAGATTCAGAAAATGGTAAAAAAATTTTTTGACTAAACTACGCACTATAAAAGCATAATCATATTAAGCTCATTAAAAGGAATCAAAAAATGTTAATAATAAGTTTATAAATTTTTATAACTTATTGCAATTTTGAAAAAATTCTTTTTATGACTAAACTACGCGCCCTCGGTAAATATACATTATTTTTAAAAATGAATGCATAATCATGTTTAGCTTTTCAAGGAGATTCAGAAAATGGTATTTTTTTTTTTTAATTTTAATTATCAAAAAAATTTTTATTTTTTGACTACAATACTTATTTATGCAGAAACATGTTTAAAATATCAACTAGATCAAGTCATTTTAATTAATTTTTCCCAATCATTCTATACCTCTATCCAAACCCTCGAAATATATGTATTAAATTTTTTTAAAAGAGAATCCCAACTTAATTCAAGCTAATTATTCAATTTGCATACATGTTGCAAAGGTTAGGAGACATCTATTAAGGAAATCTCAAGGCTTAGGAAATATTTATTTTTATATAATTTGCAAAAAATAATAGCCTAATATATTTTATTTGTAGAATATATTTTTTCTATATTCAAATGTATTCAGGCCAAGCTGGTTACGGTATTTGAAAAAATTGGGGCATGTCAGGGCTTGAAAAATTTAGCCCGATACAGATGAGTAGTTTATAGAGTTTAATTAAACTTGTATAATGAGAAATATCCTTGAAAAGCTAAACAAGATTCTGTATTCATTTTTTTTAAAAATAATGTATTTTTAAAAAATAAAAAAAACATTTTTTTAACTCATTTTATAAAGCTAAATACGATTCTTTATTAATATAATTTAAATTGAGCTTCTTTAATATGGGCGCGTATTTTAGTCATTCCCGAAGTATAATGTTTTAGGAAATAAATTTTTCTTTTAGATATTTTTTAATTAATTACCACATCATATTATGTTAGGGTAATATAACATGCCTCTTTAATAAAACACAATAATTATAAGGTATATAGTTTATTAAATAAGTTTAATTAATAAATTTTATTGATAATAATCAGAGACCTGTAGGCCTTGCCTTGAGCCTTACCCAGATATCCAATCCATAAAATTATATGATATTGGAAATCGGGACTTGAATGAAAATCCATCATTAATTTATTTATGTCTCAATTTTCAATTTTCCCCTATAATTTTTTTAGAAATTACAGCCCAAATTATTAAAAATTATATCAGACTTGTCCAAATAATTTTTTTTGGATCTAGGCATGAAAATAATAATTTTTTTAATCTAGTCTCGACTAAAATTTAAACCAAAGATCATTAAAAATAAAATATATAACTTTTATTGGAATGAGAATCAAATCAATCTTTTTCAATGCTGCAGAGGGATATCCAGAATTTTATTCTGGAGACCATCTAAAAATGGCTATAGGTTCTTACCCCAGATCCCCCTGTGCTGGTTGGCATTGTGTTTGGTAAATAATAGTCATTATGAGGACCTATCTTTTCCACTATAAATTATTTCCAGACTTTTATCACATAAACATAATATATTGTGCCATCTATAAATGGAAATATTTCAAAAATATTTATTCTTTTAATTTTACAAAGGTTGTTTTAGCATATCAAAATAACAAATGGTAATGCAAATTATATTACTTAGATTAAAGATATATTTTTAGAATCTCATATAAAACATATAAATGATATCAATAAAAGACTATGATTTTTTGGGGAAATAAATAAATCAGGGAATTAATTATTTTTATTACCAAAATATTAATGTCCTGGGAAGTATTTATAAAATTTTGAGCAGTAAATTTAGCAAAATGGGCAGTATTTTTATTATCAAAAAATCAAGGTTTTTGGTTCAATATATATAAAAAAAAATGTTCAATTAATTTAAAATCCAGACAGTGTTAATTAAAAGTTTATCATCTTTTTTAATTTTTTATCTAATATAGGTTTGATGTAGGTGCAAATGCTGCATGTCAGAGGTGGTGATTTATAAAAATGTCTATGGGAGCTCAATTTTTTTTAAAGATATGTTCATAACTTGTAAAAAAAACCTAATTAAATTTTAATTAATTGTAAATAAAATAATATTAAAAGGAACGCGTTCACGTTCACTCTGAATTTAAAAATTTTTTTAAATTTAATAATTAAAATTGAACGCATAAAAAACAAACGCTTGCGTTCACGTTTAAAGTTCGTCAAAAATACAATCATTTATTTTTTTAAAATTACTTAGTTCAGCGTGATCATTTTAAACGCGTTCGTTTACAACATTGTTTATCAAATTACTTATATCATTATTAATAGGGGTGTACCGATACCACTTTTTGGAGGCCGATCCGATATTTTATTGATATCGGCCGATTACCGATCCGATATTTTTTTCACCCCTACCCCACCCCCCTTGTCTACGCCACTGGTACTTTGTCATTTTTGATGAGTTTTATTATTTAAAAAAAATGATATTCCTCCAATAAATGAGTTGAAAGTTTTCAAAAAGTACAAAAATAGTTTGACACTAGGAACGATTGACTCTAGAGACAAATATGTTGTGCATTTAGTTTTAGTTTTTTATAGACATAAATCAAGGTGTATGATTTATAAAATTTTATCCTGTCTCATTATTAAAAAATGTCAAATAACTCACTTCATCACTGAGGTGAAGATATTTAACTTTTTTTATCAATTAAATTCCTTGAAATAAAACATTTACTACTATTTGTTTTTAAATAATAAGGAACTAAAGGTATGTTGCATGACGGACTCTTTCTTGTTAGAAGATATCAATGTGGAAAATGTGATAAGTAGAACCTTTTCCGATGTGATAAGAATAAAACTAGAACCAGCATGGGATCAATTAAACTCCAAGACCCAGAATTTAATTCTTTCCCTTAAAACTCTTCGACATTTATTGATGTAAATATTTTTTTAAAAATTATTGATTACCTTAAGATTGGAACTGAAATAGAGAACTGTTATAATTTTTCGAACCTAAACTGTTAGAAATGCTACCCTAATAAAAATTTGAGAATCGGTTTGAACATTCAGTGCAAGTTAGCTAATTGAGTTCTGCAAATTAAACAGAACCCGATCAGAAATCGGGCCTAAGATTGCAAATAAAAATTTTTGGGCTTAAATTAAAAAAATTTGAGCTTGGTCTTTGAAAATTGGGTCTGGTTTTTTATAACAATTTTTGCAAGTTAAATAATTTTTCTATCAAATCTGCACAATACATTTTTTTTAAAATTAATGATTCATGCATGATTAATTTTATTTGCATAAAGAATAAACATATATAGAAATGTATCTAATAAAAAAGTCATCACAACATTAGATATATTATTACTATTGTATATTTACGGCTCAATAATATTAATGATTTGGTGATGATTATTCATAAGTTTACCTAATCATACTTTATGTGTTTTAAATATTTCATATTAGGTATATTTGTATGTGCAATATTAATAAAATAAACATTATTTTCCTTATCTATCCGGTTTATTGATGAAGGTGCTTCTTTATACATTATTCTAATAAGTTTATATGCTAAAGCGTTCAAACCCATTTTTACAGGTTCAATCTCATGCAATATTATTACTTTTTATGAACAGAACGTGAATTCCTGAACAGAACCGTTTGCCTACCATTTGGATCATGATATTTAAAAAAATTCAATGATCAACTCATTTTAAAAAGTACTCTTTTCCACTTTCTTAAACTTAAAGTCTGAAAGAATCCTTTTAGACATCTCTCTCTGTTGTCTGAGAATGATCTTTTTGTTATGATCTTCTTTCCTTTTAATTTTGAACATTATGACTTGTGATTTAGCACTTAATTACACATTTATTATATTTTTTTAAATAGCAGATGAAACATATTATTTAGAAAAAGAGAAACTATAGTATATATAAAATATATAAACTAAAAATATAGAATTAATTATAAAGTAACCAGGACCATAAGAAAAAAATGAAAGGCCAGAATTCCAAAGAAAAATCTCCACAAACAATTTTATTTAAATGCTAGTGCCGTAGACGTTACTTAAAAAGTAACGACTACTGTCCTAGTATTTGTAAAAATTTACAATATATTTTTTATAGATGTCAATCAATAATATTGCTTATTTTTGATTGGTAGGAAATTAAACAAAGTGTTATAAAAAATATGGGCACGAGGCATTCACCAGCAAAACTAAGTTATAATAAAAAAATTTTTTTTTAACTAACTTAATTAATTATTTGTATAAAGTTTTTATTAAATGGAAACGCAATCGAAATTGATTGAGATGACATCTCATTATATCCAGATTACATTAATCTCCAAGTGTGTAGGCATGCAATTCAACACCACATATCCCCAACCAGTTATTCAAAAGGAGATAGCCTCTAATGTGATCAAAAAACGACGATGTTTGATTTGCAATGCCGATGATCATTTGGTACAACAATGTAAGGTTTATTCTAAAAGAAGTGGGCTACAATCAAATAATAGATACGATACAAAACCCCTGACAAAAAGGTTAATTCGATCATTTGAAGACAGATATGCTCAACCATGAGATAAAGGAAAAACAGTCATGACAACGGAAGTTGAAGACGATCCATCAATTCATGGGGTGCTAATGACAAATATTAAATGCCAAATTGATATGTTCGGTTCAACCTATGGTCAACCTGGAGGTAAATGATATCGGTATGATGACGTCTACTGCAACCGTCAATCAATTCTGTTCAATTCAACCGATGGGCAATTTGAATGTTTGCGAGATAAGCATTTATATTTTTTTTGGTTAATATTTTTGGGCATATTTTGACAATGATCTAAAAATTATAATTTGATACCGTTAAATGGCGTCTGCTGATAATGTCAATTTATGAAAAATGGGTGATGAATAAAAAAAAAATTTTTTTTTAAATTATTTGATTATGAAATATAATAAATGATATATGTACATATAGATCATAATTTTTATTATAACTTAGTTTTGCTAGTGAATGTCTCGTGCCCATAAAAGGGTGGCATGTCCTAGTTTTTGTAAAATTTACAATATTTTATAGATGTCAATCAATAATATATTGTGTATTGTTGATTGGTAGGAGAGATTAAACAAAGTGTTATAATAAATAAAAAATAATAAAAAAAATTTTCACTTATAATATTTTTATAAGATATTATTCATTCGAAAGAATTGTGATTATTATTCCGATTGATATAGTGAATGGGCCACACCATTGATTCCAGTAAAAATTATAATGGAAAGTTGCTGATTTTCAAGTTATTTTAATCCAGGGTTGTGGAAGTTAAATATCCATTGCCTAGAATTTAGGAAATTTTGCCAATTTAAAAGGTGCAAAATATTTTTCCAAAATTGATTTTTCTTCTGCATATTTACAGTTACATTAAAAGAAGGAAATTCATAAATTGTTTACGATAACGACTCATATAGGATTATTTGCCTTTTGTAGGTCACCGTTTGGATTAAGTATGTCAGGCTGATTTTTCAGCGTACTATGGCATCAGTTTTCCAGGGCCTAGAAGGAGTTTTTTATTATATGTATGATGTGTTAATTACTGGTGTAACATCGGAACAACATAATCAACGTTTGGAAGAAGTTTTCAAAAGAATTCGTGATAAAGGTCTGAGGGTCAGCAGAGAAAAAGGTGTTCTTTGGGTAACAGAACTCTATTTAGGACATTAAATTTTTATCCAATGATTACACCTGCAATCATATAGTCAGTTTATTATTTAACATTTCGACACAATTTATGGCCACATGTCTCATTTTTTTACACTTAAAACACAAACGAGAATCATCATAATCTAATTGTACCCGAAATTTTTCTCACATTAGAATTTTCCATCGTTTTCTTAACGGAAAACCCCCACGGAAATTTTGTTCTTTGACCATACAAGTTCCAACCTTGTGTCCTTTATAACCACAAAGGTTACATATTTTATTATTTAAAATATTATTTTTAACACTAAAATTTTCACTAAATGTTCTGTCCCTTGAAACCCCATTTTTTTCATTTGGACCATTTTTGCCACATATCTGGCCTTTATCACAATTATTATTCATATTCATCCATTTATATACATCCTGATATATAACTTTGATTATATCTTTCATTTTAATTCTCGGAGGATAACCACCGATCTCTCAACACATTCCGGACGATCACACTGATTATCCTTTAAGATTTTAACCACTTCTGGTTCATTATTCTTGATTTCATTTAAACTAATTTTCTGTGTCTAATATTTTTTTCAAATAATTTTCGGATGCCACAGAATTTAATTTTTTATATATTTTTTATTTATTTCATTTTTTTTTCGGCTTATATTTATCAAATTTTTCAACGCTATGTAAACTTTTTATTAAGAACTTAATAACAAAAATTCTTATAAATGCAACCCTTATCAAACATACTAGGTTCAATATCAAACTTAAACAAATAATCCATTCCATATTTTATTTTATACAAATTACAATTTTTATTTTTAAATAAATATAAATTAAAACCGCAATAAATTAGAATAAGAATCCACTGGTCATGAGCACCAATTTTTTAGAGCTCAACTTAAACCTCAACTTTCTTATTACAATTAATTAAAAATAAATAAAATAAATTGAAATCTTTAATTTCTTAAAACTCAATTACCTTACTATAATTCTTTAAAAAAATTTTTTCCGGTCATGGGTTACTTTATTTGAATATTTATTGATAGTTGAAAAAATCATTATATTTTGTTTTATTTTCAATATTTAAATCACAATTCCTTCAAATGAATAATATCTTATGAGAAATATTATGTCAAAAAAAAATTATTATTATTTTATTTATTAACACTTTGTTTAGTCTCCTACCAATCAACAATATGCAATATTATTGATTGACATCTATAAAAAAAATATTGTAAATTTTAAAAATACTAGGACAATATTTTGTATTACTTTGTAAAATAATATAAGATAGTTACATGTACAAGTAACACGTTACCATGAAAAAAAAATCACAATTTTTACCCGTTTTATTTAATACACAAATTGAAAGATGAACTTTCTACCTAAGGTAAAAGGTTAAAGTTCATCAATTTTAAATGATAATATAAGCTTACTTATTTGTCTTGTTGTTCAATTGATTTCGATATTTCTATTTTTGCTTTTGCGTTTTTACAACTTGTTAGTTAATTATTATTGTTTTTGATATTTGAATCTTTTTATTTAAGCTTTTTTTTCACTTCGTCTTGAAGAATGCACATTTATTTTAAACCTTTGCATGTTTTTTTCTTCAGATTTTGACAATACTGTCAGGGGCGGATTGGCCATAAGACCCGATGGGCATTTTGCCCATGAGGCCGCGAGAAAATGTCAATTTTTGAGGCCGATCAGAGGAAAATATCAAAATAGAGGCCGATTAGAAAAAAATTATTATTATGTTCACATTATTTTCTCTTATCATTTATTTATTTTTAATGATATCTCTATGATTTGAATATCACATTCCTTGAGAGTTGTCATGTTGTTTACTCTATTTTAATACATAATATATCAATGGCGTCGCTTGACGCTACACATCATTACCACGTTCTTTTCTTTGTTTTTTTTTCAAATGAAGTGAAAACGCTTCCGTTTGAGTAGAGTGAAAGCTAAGTTTTGATTAATTTATTATATTATATTTTTATACATTGATTTATTATAGAAATTGTTTTAATTCATTGAAATCAAATAAAATCCAGGTCGGTGAATCAGATAAAAGGATGGATGCTTGGGTGAAACAGAATAATTTATCTGGCCAAAATAAGTTGAGAAGGCTGCAAAAAATAGGTGAGATAAGATGGTGGGCACGTGAAAAGCTCTTAGATGGATGTATGGTAAAGAGAGCTTGCTCCCAATAACGTAAAGTCACTTCAATTTATAATAGATAATAAATAATTTGAGACAAAATCTTCATAATTTATGTAAATTTAAGACTCTAAGTAGCTATAATTATTTTAAAATAATGGGGCCACTGTCATATTTTCAAACTCAAAAATTAGGTACTTTGTCAGCATGGAAAATGAAAGAAGATGCTAAATCTTCTGTATCATCGATTATTACATAGATTCAAAAGAAAGCAATAAAATGGCTGCTAATTTAAATGAAACATTTTCATATTTATAGCTCCTGGAGAGTATCTGAGTACAAAACGCTCTGTAAAAAGATCGAATAGGACGAGCGAAGAGAATATATAGTGACAAATGCCAAGATGAACGTCCTCAATGACCTTTATAGGTTCGAACTATTTCGTCCTATAATTGATCAAGTTATAAACAGCTTGTCGGAACTACTTTCTGCGAATTGATAGCTTATTTTGAATGTGCAATATTTGTATCCAAGACATTTTGATGAAATAAATAGTAAAGGTATTTCTGCAAAGGCCTTGGAAAAACTGGGACAGTGTTAAATTTCATAACGAATTATGTTCATTTGCCAGTGTATTCAAAGATTTGGTAGCAGAATTAAATGAAACGGACGATGATATCGCATGTACAAGTTAGGAGTCAAACGAAGAAGATGGAATATTACAATATGATAATAAATCAGAGTGTGATAATAAATGTAACAAGTGTTTAATATGCGTGTATGAAATTCTTAAAAGATACAATATGCATACAAGTGACACTAATTTATTTTTGGCATATGAATACATTTTAACTTTATCATTTACGCAGGTTAATTGCGAGAAAGCATTTAGTAAATTAAAAATTATAAAAATAAGCTGAGAGCTAATTTTGACCAAGAAAAATTACAAGCGTTTTTAATGATGTCAGTTGAACGAGAACTATTAGCGTAGATTGAACTAGAAGATATTCCTTTATATTTGCGCAAAGGTTCAAAGTTAATGAGAGATTTACTAACGTAAAAATTATATATTTTCTTAATTCTTATTAGAATCTTATTAATATTATTTACGATATGATCGGTGCCGGATTTTATAAAAGTGCAGCAATTTTATTCTCTAATATTGTATAACTGCAATAATTTTATATTTATAATTAATTGATTTAATATATTGAGTTTGCATTTTTTTTATACATAACATGTGATGTATGATTTGATTTTATAGTGCAATATCGTTGTAAATCTAATATAAAATATATATTTTCAATGAATAATATTTTATATAAATGAATATGATTTTAGATGTGCATTTTTTAAAAATAAAATATATGATTATCGTATAATACTATTCTTTTTTTTACTAAAAATGTAAAACGTTTGAACTTATTTTCAAAAAATAAGAAGTAATAAAAATCATGTAAATCAAAGAAGGCATTTAAGGAAACCCGGTCGAAAACCGGGCAAAAACGGGCCAGCCCGCAAAATGGGGATATGGGGGCGAAACCCTCATATAAATCAGGCCGCTATAAAAAATTCCCTCGCCAGTCTGCCCCTGATATTGCTTGAACTAATTAATCTTTTTTTGTCAGGGTAATCGTTTATATCTTTTGACAAATCATTTTGTGGTGATCAGAAATTTATTCTTTAAAACATTTCTAAGCACAAATTATTTTGAACATATAATATTATATTTAAGGTATCGATTTCATAATATCTCATAAAATTAAAATTGTCTTTACTAGGATTAAAATATAAAGTAACGAGTGACGTAAAAAGTAAAATGCTACCTAACTTCATTGCTTGTTTTCCGTTAAGATAGCGACCGTTAATACGTCAAGTTTTATGCATTTTGTTATAATTAGAAAATGAGCGAGATAAATATATATAAAATCATTAACAGCAATTTATTTATCCAAATATACTATAATCATATATAGTATAATATGCTGAATATTTCTTAATTCATTTAAAATTGATAAGATATTAAAATAATAAGTATTAAGGGTTTGGATAAAAGTAATATTGGCATTATATAGACGAATTATGCAAATTTTCATAAAAAAAATTATTTCATTGGTGCCCCCCCCCCTTTAGTTATATTTCTGGTTATGATATAATAAAAAATAATAATTGAAAAGTAAAATACCAATTTTACAGTATAATTATACACTAAAAACTCCATTTTTCTGAAATAAAATAAAAATGAAAATCAAAAATATAATTATAAATTTTGAATCCTAGCTTCAAATTTTTACAAAAGTATTGGTTAAACAATAACAAAACATTATATTATTAAAATTGGTTTTTTTTACATTTTTACATTTTAACATTTGAAATTAGTTATTGTATTTAACTTAATTCGTGCCTTTTTCTACATTTTTTTATTATCTTTCAAAAAAAATTTCCCCTTCCAAGCAATTTGTACAGACTTGATAGCTCTACTTTTTTTATCCAGTTTCAAAGTCGAAGAAAGGAATGTCTAAGTGGGAATTCTCCCGTTAGCAAATGCGACTCCCAATGGATGCTAGAACCTGCGGCAGAGTTACTATATTTAAAGGCTAAAAATAGGGCCGAAAATGGTTTTTATTTATTTTTTTCTTTATAATATATTAATGTATAACCATATTATAACCACTTCTAATAGGAACCTAAATCAAAAGAAAAATAGGAATTATGAACGAGAAAGTTATAATGTCATAAAATATACTTTAATAATTAACTTAATATATCAAATAGATTTATTTTTACTGGTGCATGTAATTTTTTTAATGAAACGCCTTTGAAGAGAAATCTTTTCTCCTATAAGTGTTTATCCATTTTATGAATCTTTCTTGATTTTGAGCATTCCTCTCATTTCCAAATTTTTTGTAATTACCTTAAATTATTATACAATGATTTAGTAAAAGAATTAATATATTACAAAATAAGTTACTTTGTAGAAAAGGGTCTATTAGAATTTGGTATGAACAGCCCCCTTTTATGTATTCTCATTGTTATAAAAACGGAGTTTTTAGAGTCCTTGTTTTACATGGGATAATATATCTATTAATTTTTATTATCATACAGGTACCAATCACAAAATATCTGGAGAAAACCCTAAACTAAACGTTTTGGTCCAAATTTTGAACAAATTAAAAGGGCCGTCATTTATAGGACATAGAGAAGAAGATTTAGAGAGAGGAAACGAAGATCAAGAAATTCAACCGAGTGTATCACTAGAGAAAAAAATGATTTTAATATTAGTGAAAGATGAAATTATATTAGAACAAATCAGGACTCGCTTAAGTAGACCCATTTGTCAAGGTTTATTATTTGGGGAGGGAATATAATGATAGAAAATAAATAAATAACGATACTAATCACTTAGTAATTGCAAAAATTAGTTATATATTTGTAATCGATTACTTGCTTAATAATTGTGAATTGTAATTAGGAATCTAATTACAATTGTAATCTATTATTGCGTAACCTTATAGTAGTTTATACTATATTAATTAAAGTTTTCTAAAACAGATAAAATGTTACAAGTTTCTTTTATTTAATTTGGAATAAATCAAAGTTGCAATTTAATTTAATTTAATTTATTTTTGAAATTTTACATCTTTTATCAAACTAAAAAATAAGGCTTCTATAACAATTTTCATATTAATATATAAAACAATCAATCTACACAATTTATATAAAAAAAATCAATTTATATAAACATAAAAAAAACAATTTAAAGGTTAGTATTAATCGGTCATATCAACATTAATATATAATATTGTTTTCACTTAACAGTTGTTTATACTATATTAATTAATATTATATATAAATTTTATATGAATGTAATTTGACCACCTAAAAACATGATTATCTCCTTTCATTAAAAAAGATCCACCTACTCTCAATGTATCTTTTTTATGAGTATAAATATATATTTTCCATAAAGTTAAATTTGTAACCTTAACTACTTGACTAGTTCCTTGTAAATATTAAACCTTAATATGATTATTATAACTTCGCCTGGTGGATTTAAATGGTTTGACGATCTAAAATGGTTCACAATTTAATTTATCTAATTTTAAAAACTGTTTTTGAAAGACGATACTAATACCACAAACGAAAACGTAGACGAATTCGAAATAACGGAAAATGTTCCCAAGACTAATGATAAGCAACGATTCACAAAAAAACGCAAGGTTAGAATTATGGATTATACTTATTTTTTAAAAATAAATAAATATATTATGGGATTTATTTCTGGAAAACTCCTCTGCGATTTCAAAGGTTTAATAAAAAGTTATATATCATTAATCCAAAGGATCACCTGTACCACTTTTTAGCTTATGCCCAGGCGAAGGATAAGTCCAATGCCACCGATATTCAACTTTTTTAATTTAGTGTTTTAAAAAAAATCCAAATTTTTTAAACCTGGCCTAATGTAAAAATAAAAAGCCAAGCCTTAAATTATTTTTGTTATCATTAATTTATTTGAATAATTAATGATATTAATTAATAAAGGAAATTTATAAAGCATAACCTAAAGTTGGCATACAAATCAATTTTATTTTTTGTTAGTATTTTAAATAGTTTATTCGTTTTTGTTTTCGAATAAGACATTTTATTATACCGCATTTTACTATATTTTACATAAAAGTTTTAATTAATTTCAAAATTTTATTATAATAAATGATTTTAAAAGTTATTTTAATCCTCTAATTATTATTTTTTGTATAATAAATTCCTATAAAAATCATTTTCATATTGTTTTAAGGGATATGAAAAATATTTATAATTATTTATGCCCTATATAATATATTTATTCAACAGCTTCAATAATCACTCGAGTCACTGACATCTTTAACCCTCACCTCCCTAAAATGATTTACCCCTAGAAAAATAATATTTACTCCTAACTGACATACTCACTATCATTGAAAATTTTAGTCTCCCAAATAATTATTACTGATACAATATAGATAATATATAACAATTTTATTAACATAGTAAATTTATTGTAAATTTATATATTTGTTTGAAAATTTAAATATATTGCAAAATAAAAAAATATTTGACATTAAATCAAAAGAAATAAGAGGGTACATGAATAATTATGGTTTATCTAATATATATAATCTCCAAAATCAAAACATGATCGTTTTCGTATCATCTTTATTAAAATTTAAGGAGACTATATAGTGTGATATTCATTTTTTGCCATTTACCAGCATCGAACCACTTCTTTTCAAAATTACACGCTTTATGCCTGCACCTCCTATTAAATTTAAAATATTAATTATATATATTAATAAAACTCAATTGCCTGCCGTTATCGTAGCTAGGCCTAAAACGAATTATTTGTTATTTGATATTCGATTCGTATTTTACAATACGAATAACACAATTATTCGATTCGAAATTTCGAATCGAATATGAATAATGAGGAAAATTATTCGTATTATTCGAAATTATTTATATATAAATATTCGTAATTATTCGCAAATATTTTATTGCAAGTAAAATTAAAAGAAGTAATTAAATTTTCCTAGTGTTTATCATTTCGTTTTATTTTATTTCCTATTATCAAATATCAAATCATAACAAGTTATATTTGCTGAAAAAGTTTAATGGAAGAAAAGGAAAAGCTTCAAAGTAAAATATAATTATTTTATTTTGATTGTTTCTCTTTAATCATTTTTGATGTTATGAACAAGTCAAATTTTTATAGAGTGTGCCTCTTTCCCATATTCTCAAGCTCCTGGCAGATAAATAACTAAAATTTTTTGACTAGTTCTTATTATTTGATTAGGAAAATCCTTTTCCCATTCAGTAACCTTATTTTTGGCAAATTTTAAAGACAATCTAATTCAGATAGTGCATTATAATATCTTCATCCTCTATTACATTGTCATAATCACCTCTAAAAATTATATTAATAATTAAATAAAGGAAATTTATGCTACTAAAGTATTTTTATATATTAAATAAACTCTATAATGAAATACTTTCTAAAATTTTGTTATATTTTATATGCAAATATTTAAAATGTAGATATTTTAAATAGATTATAATTTTAAAAAGATTATAATTTTAAAAATTTTATTTTGTCATAAACACCTTCACCTCTAACTAATAAAATGATATTAATAATAAAAATAAATACATGATTAAATAAAGGAAATTTATGCTACTAAAGTATTTTTAATAAATAAAATCTATAATGAAATACTTTATAAAATTTTGTTATATTTTATATGCAAATATTTAAAATGTAGATATTTTAAATAGATTATAATTTTAAAAATTTTATTTTGCCATAATCACCTTCACCTCTAATAAAATGATATTAATAATAAAAATAAATACATGATTAAATAAAGGAAATTTATGCTACTTAAAGTATTTTTAATAAATAAAATCTATAATGAAATATTTTCTAAAATTTTGTTATATTTTATATGCAAATATTTAAAATGTAGATATTTTATATAGATTATAATTTTAAAAATTTTATTTTGTCATAATCCCTTCACCTCTAATAAAATGATATTAATAATAAAAATCAATACATTATTAAATAAAGGAAATTTATGCTACTAAAGTATTTTTAATAAATAAAATCTATAATGAAATATTTTCTAAAATTTTGTTATATATGTAAATATTTAAAATAAATTTTAAAATGTAAATATTTTATATAGATTATAATTTTAAAAATTTTATTTTGTCATAATCACCTTCACCTCTAATAAAATGATATTAATAATAAAAATAAATACATGATTAAATAAAGGAAATTTATGCTACTAAAGTATTTTTATATAATAAATAAAATCTATAATGAAATACTCTCTAAAATTTGTTATATATTATGCAAATATTTAAAATAAATTTAAAAATGTAGATATTTTATATAGATTATTTTAAAATTTTTATTATAATTTAAAAAAATATATAAATAATACTGTATTTTGATTAAATTAGTATTTCCATAAATTTTAAGAATTAATACAAAAATTATAAAAATGTTATAACTAAGAATTTATTTTACAAAAATAAATATTATTTAAAACTAATATTATCATATAGCTATTTTTGATTTGAATTTATAAAGAAAGGTCTAATTTTCTCTAAGGTTTTGCTAATTCATAATAGGAATAAAAATGTAAATTAAAATAATTTTATTTTTTAAAAAAGACCCCCCCCCCCCATGCCTATGCCACTGTTTAATTAATTTACTGTTTTTTTCTTTCAGCTTCTAATGTGTCATTAATCTGGAATTTCAGGATGGTAAACTTGGATTTTATATGATATAATGTTAAAATATATTCAAAGATCAATTAGAAAATCTTGATGGAAGAAGATGTGGTGAAGGACATAGTCAATCCTCAAATAGTTCAAGATCTACATCAATCTCTGATCAAACTGAACCTTTTAATGCTAGACGGAAAAATTCTTTAATATGGAATCATTATCTCCATGATGCTAAAAAAGAAACAGCTAAATGTAAAATATGCAATGTGGAGATAATGTGCAAGAAAAAAACTACCTCAGCACTAATTAATCATAACAAAAGATTTCATCAAAAACAAAATAATACTATTAGAAACTATTTAAATGATATACCCAAAACAAATGCTGATGATGTTAAGCATTATTTATTAAAATTTTTGCTAAAGTCAAATATACCCTTTAAAATTCTCGCCACTCAGGAATTCAAGTCCTTCGTTAGAGCTTTAAATCCTGAAATAAAAATATGCTCAATACCGTCAATTAAACTATATATGAATGAAATTTTTAATAAAGAATTCAATAAAGTTAAAATAATTATAAATAATTTAAAATGCCAAATTAACTTTACAACTGATATATGGTCAAGCCCTACTAATGTACCATTTTTAGGGTTGACCTGCCACTTTATTGATGAAGAATGGGAGATGAAATCATTGTTATTGGATATAGTTCCATTTACTGATTCGCATTCTGGTGAAGATATTTACAGAGAGTTTTCTCAAATTATAAAAAATTATAATATCGACATAAGTAAGATAGCAATTACTTGCGATAATGCTAGCTCTAATTCTACTTTCATAAAAATTCTTCGTATAAAACACCCAAATTGTGAAATTTTACATGTGCGATGTTTTGCATATGTACTCAATTTAGTAGTACAGGAAATACTTAAGAAGTATACAGGCAAGTATCAAAATTAAGAACAATCATAAAGATTATTCGCAATTCTTTTACAAAGACAAATATTATGCAAAATGTGTGCTCCTCCCTACTTCCCCCTATGAAATATTTAAAATTAGACACATCCATCAGATGGAATAGCTCTTATTTAATGGTCGAAAGTGCTATTAAAATGAGAAGGGCTATTGATGAAGTTGTGACTCAGATATATGATGATATATCTGATATCGAAGAAAGAAAACTGAGCGAAGTAATTTAATTTAATTTACTAATTATTATTTTTTATCAGGATGATTGGACTACTTTAATAAACATACAAAACAAATTAAAGACTTTTTTTGATTTTACCGAAGATATATATGGTGACACATATCCTATCCTAAATCTTGTCATCCCTTTCTATGTTTCTTTAATCGAACATTTAAATTCATTTGATCTCGATTTTATAAACTATCAGTGCGATTGAGAAAATAGAAACATATTATAACTTAACAAATATTCACACTATATTATCAACAATACTGGATCCTAGACTAAAAATAAAATTTTTTGAGCAACTACCATACATATAACATAGACACGACAAATCTATTAGAAAAATTTAAAGATGTATATAATGATTACAAAATAAAATATAATATTCAACATCAGTTAACCCAATAGTAAAACAAAATAACATCGCATCAGTATGTGAGGTGGAGACATATCTTAACGAAATAAGAATCAGTTCAAATAAGAGTCCCTTAGAATGGTGGAGATTGCATGGGGATCGTTTTCCTGTGTTACCGAAAATGGCAGCTGATATATTGTCAATTCAGGGATCTTCGGCTTCATGTGAGCGGTTGTTCTCAATAGGAACAAATATGATAATGAAAAATAGAATGTCTTTGAAGGAGGAAACTATTAGAAAGACTTTTTGCTTAAAAAATTGGATATTATCAAATTCGGATTTACTATAATTTTATATTTTTGTGTATTATTTTCTATTTTTATAAAATGAGATTATTGTACATTTTTAGAAAATTTTAATAAAATTTGAATATTAGATTGAAGAAATAGTTTAAATATTTTTTTATAAGCAATTCTAATTCTAAAAATCGGATATTTTAGTCAATTTGTTTGGTTAACGTTATATGAAATCATTGGGTTTTATTTCGTTTATTTTCTATAAATTTTTATATTGTAATGACAATTAGTTTAGAGAATCCTTAAAAGTGTCATCTTTAAACATCTGTAAAATTTTTTTTGCAAAATATTTTATAAGCTTTAGAAAATTTTTCGAATCGAAACGAATAATGATTTTATTATTCTTACGAATACGAATAGCTGAATCGAAACGAATAATAGTATTATTCGATTCGATTCGTTTTTTTGTAGGCCTAATCGTAGCTGATATTTTTAAAATTTTGCCATTTATTACCATATTGAATTAATTAATTTATGGATAACCATTTTGAATTTATTAATCTATTAATAAAATTTATAACCATTTTGAATAAATTAATCTATAAATAAAATTTATATATTTGACGTCAATTTAAAACATAGTCTTTAGAGTTTATTAAGCACCGTCTAACCTACTATTTACTCTTAACCAATTCAAGAATTTATGAGTCATAAGTAAGGATTTTTCTTTTTATCTGACTATTTAGATATTAAATTTATATAGGTATTTTAACTATATAGATGAATAACAATAAGAAAATACAAATTCTCTTTTACCTAATGATTCCTTCCTTTCAATAAAAGAGGTAACCTTATTTCCTATATTCTTTTTAATTTAATATTCATTTATTTTGTTATAAGTCTATTTCAATTATATCGCACCAATAAAGGATCTGTATTAATTAATTTGTTCTATTATGCATCATTAAACTTTAACCAATACAAAAATTTTCATGAGTCTAAATTATATGTTTTTCATTTTATCTGACTTTTGATTTTTATAAGTTAATTTATCTGATTTTATGTGACATAATAATTTACTATGTATTTTATATATTATATAAGTTATCTATATTGTTTTATATAGATAAGAATAACAATGATGTATAAATTATCATAAACCTAGGAATTCTATCTTTTCATGAATATTAATTAAATTAAAAAGTATATAGAAAGGCTACCTCTTTTATTGAAAGGATTGTATCATTAGGTAAAAAAGAATTTGTATTTTTTTATTGTTATTCATCTATACAGTTAAAATACCTATAAAAATTATAAATCTAAATACTCAGATAAAAAGAACAATCCATACTTATGACTCATAAATTCTTGAACATTAATAACCAGTATAACACGTGCCCCTTTTAGACCCTCTGCTTAAATATACAGTTATATGTTTTTTAGATTAGCCATAATAAAAAAAAATATTTAATAACTATATAACACTATTTTATTGGATTTCGCGCTTGCACTAGACGATTTAGGAAAAAATTAAAACATATCTTGCCTAGCATTTCCCTAAAATTAATCCATTAAGTGGAGCAACATAACTGGTCATATGAATTTATTATGCCAATTTTGTCAATCTTTAAATTTTTAACCGAAAGACCTTCAGATGGTAAATTCACCCATTGTTGTCATAAGGATAAAGTCAAACGTACTCAATGGCTATATCCTGATTATTTAAAAAATCATTCTATTGCCTTTGCATCTATGGGGGCACAGATTTCAGAGTTATTAGGTAATGGGCCTTACTGTTTTAAAGTTCGTGCAAATTTATATCGCACATCTCTTTATATTCGATTATTCTACCTAAATTTGCTTAGTTATATGTACTAGATACATCTCAGGCCATGGCAGGATGTCTTCAGCACCCTGCCAATTCTGATTATGATATAAATATCATGAGAAATTTAGATATGTTGATACGCCAAGTTAATCCATATGCTTTAAGTTTCAAAACCTTAGATGAAATTGAGAAAGCTGAGTTATCCCTTGCAAAACTTTCAAATATATTATTGCCCAAGATTAATATGATATTTCGCGGAGATCGTTCTAACGACCGTTTGCGGTAAAATTTATCTGCAATTGATGATGTGGCTATATACTTACAAATGATGATGGAGAACTTCCCTATATAAAAGTGTTTCCTAGATCTATTGGGAATGATTAGACACAATGGTATACACTATACCATTTACTCATGGAGATCTTGGCTGGGAGTTTAATATGATTGCTGAAGCTTTTGAAAATTCTGGACGTTCAAAAATATCTATGCTACAATTTTAAATAGCGTTTAGCGGTTAGACAAAATCTTGTTAATCCCTTTCTTGTTGGGAGACTAACTCAAAAATATATTGTAAAGACGGGACAGCATACTTTTCTCCCTTATTCGATGATAGATGAATCAGAAATTAAGAATATCTTATGAGGCATGATACACAAATTTACCTCTTTTTTCCAAAATTTTAATTATTTTTATAAAATATATTTAATGAAGTATATATTTAGTACCATATAAACAAACTATCTGATTATCCATCAACCTCGTCACTCTTGATAGGTTATCAGCTAGTTACATATAATATCTCATACGTTTATTTAGTTGAGGGAAGCTCTTTCTCAAGAAAAAACAACACCTCATTTAGACATATTGGTAAATAGATAACAATTGAGTCATTATAAAAATAAATGTAATCTAATATTTTTTGCTTGATCTCCGACGGGATTAATATTTTTTTAAAAGAATCTCTTGAACGAGTATAGTTAAGAATAAAAAGCCTTTAGAGATATGGGTTGGAGTTACATTTAAAAAGAATAATGGCTCTATATCAATTATCAATTACCCTAAAGGATTGAATATAATACTTGTTTTGCAATAGATTTTGAAGTTTATCTTAATTATAATTTTGAATATATGTAAGAATAAAATTTATCTTTAGTTTGTAAATAATCTTCTACGTACTCATATGTCGTCTTATTTTTTTTGATTAAATGTCATTTATTACTATATTTTGCAATATATTTGAATTTTTTTACAATTTTATGTATGCATTTAAAATATATTTACTGTCGCCGGGGTGGTCCAATGGTGTATGATGTATGCTTGGAAACCAAAGGTCTCAGGTTCAATCCTGGTAAGAAACTAAATTTTTCGGGTTTTTCTTCGATGACAGATGTGTATAGACATATGATATTATAAATTTCTGAGCTGAGAAATGCCAACCCGGTCACCGACAGGCTTGGACAGCCGGGTGCTAGGATACTTGTCCAATAAACCAAAGTAAGACGACCAGCTGAACTCGTGGGTCATTCGATTTCTTGGCCAGCGCTAGGATAATGGTGACCTCAGGGGCCGTTCAAGCTCAATGTCTACCAAGCTACAATGGACTTGATAACGATACTCCTGTGTAGTGTTGTTAAACGGCTCATTTTGAGCCGATTTTTTAAAACGACTAACTCAATATTTTAGCCAGGAAAATATTACCAGAACCTCGATATTTTTATAATATATGTCTAAACCTTTGTTACTTCTATGAGCAAAATCTTCAGACTTAAGTAATATTTTTCTGGATAAAATATTGAGTTAGCCATTTTTAAAAATCGGCTCATAACGAGCCGTTTAACAACACTACTCCTGTGGGAGATCAAGATTACAATGAAATCGATAAGAATACTCCGATGAGATATCTGTTAATTTGATACTTCGGTGTCAGGAATATGGGATATCTGTCGATATTCATACTCCGGTGGGAGATCCAAATGGAATCGATCAGAAATATAAATAAGATAAAAATATATAGCATGAGTAATGAAGTGGAGAGAGATATTGAAGGAGCTTTCCACCAGAAAAGGTGAAAGATAAAAAGGAAAAAAATTTTTTAAATATATTTACTGGTATGTTAATAAAATTGTTATACTCTATATTATATATTGTACCATAGAATTATTTGGGACACTGAAATTTTCTATGGTAGTGAGTATTTAAGTTTGGAGGAAATATTATTTTTCAAAGGACAAATTTTTTTTAGGGAGGTAATGGGTTTTCAGTGAAGAAGGATTATTGAAACTGTTGAATACATATATTTTAATTAGGGCAAATAATTATGGATGAGTTTATTTTACAAAAAATAATAATTATAGGATTAACACAACATATAAAATCAATTATAATAAAAGTTATATGCAAACTATAGTAAAATAGATATTTTTATTTGAAATTAAAAATTAATTATTTTTAATCAAAAATATCATTGATTTGAATCGCATTCTAAATTTTGATTCGTAAATAATTATTAACACTAGAATGAATGAAAAGATATGATTTAATTATTATAATCATTTATGAACATTTTTATTATAAAGTTAGTAATTTACAAGTATTAAAAATTCTTTTGATGATAGAAATTTTATGATAAAGAAATTCATCAATTATTATATATACACTTATTTTTTAAAAAAAAGGTCAAAAATGTTCCAGGTACCAAAAGACCCAAATTGGAGGATTTGCAGGAAGAAGGGGGTAATTGTGCACCTACACTTAATTGTGATATTAATATTGAAGAAATGCATAAATCTAATGAACCAAACAGTTCCAACATCTTCCGAGAAAATATTCAATCAGTAAAAGTAAATATTTTTTTATTTGATCAATCCTTTATTCAATCCAAATATTTCCCTTTCTTTTTTTTCTAACCAATCTTTTACTCCGCGATAAGAAATGTATCAATATGTTCACTTTAGTTATTTTTTATACTGTCTTTTTCCCTAATTTTTAAAAATAATGAATTTCCATATATTGATATAAGATATATATATAAATTAGGAAGCAATTGAATCAAATATCACTTTGCCACCATCAAATTTATCATTCTATCCTCACGGTCACGTTATTCTTTTATCAATAGAAACTATCGGTGAAAACCATTTGACAAATATATTGGAAGCATTTGAACCTAGTCACGTTATATTGTATGACCCTGAGTTAACTTTGATAAGAGAAATTGAGGTTTTTTTAGTAAAAATATACGAGTAAATATAGATTATAATATAATTTATAAAAATAGAATAGAATGAGATGAAAAAGGAAGAAGAGAGGTGGGAAGAAAGATATATATATATAGAAAAAAATGATGACATATAACTTTGTACATATAAAAGGAGAAAAGAAAAGAAATGGATCCCTGCACGGATACGGACTTTTCTAACTCCTATGATTTGAACAGTCGGACTTTTGTGGGTCGGATCTTGATTTAAAGATTTCGGCAATCTATTAAATTATTTTAATTCCTTAATGTTAATTCTTCGTTTCTATTTTTAAAAAACCTAAATATTTCTTATTTTCTTCGAAAGGTGTTTCCTTAAAAAATAAATAAATCAAAAATTTTATCATTGGACCGTAGTGAGTGAGCGTAAAAGGTTAATAAAATGTTTGTGTTCAAATTGATATTCTATTTGGCCTATTTTTAATTTTTGTGAAATTGAACTTTGACTTTATTTTCAGAAAATAATAGTTCGGGTTGGATCCGACTTAGACCTTCGGTAAATATCGGACAAATGTTTTTCCTCAGTTTGGATTTTAAAAACAAGTCAAGTGAAGGGTTCTAAATGAGAATATATAAAAATATTATATAATTTTATATTTATATATAAAGGTATATCAGGCCACCTTACCATCAAATCAATTGACAGTTTATTTTCTCATGTATTCCGATTCCGTAGAAGAACAGATTTACCTTAGTTCCTTAAGGATAGAAAAAGAAGCTTTCGAATTTTTGATTCATCAGAAAGGGGTATTTATATAATATCATCGACTGAAGATCACAGTGTTACTTTTTTTTCTAACTTTACCTGAGAGCATTTTAAAAATTTATTTGGTTTATTTTATTTTTAAAATGGGAATGCGTTGAGTTTTTTGACTTTTAGATTACATGCTGTTCGAAATATTTTTATTACTATATGTAAAGTAAGTTCTGGATGCCCTCAAGGCCTAGTGCATATTAGAAAAGTAAGGCCTGACGAGGCAAAGGGTTACCTATATTTAAATACAAATTAGAACGAGCAGATCCAACTTATAAAATGATTTATCAAAAGAAATTTTAAAGATGCTACAATATAATCCTCAGCCGACTATATATTTTTTTAAATAATTTTTTCATTTCTTTCCAATATTCTTCTAATGATTTTGAAGTTTTATTAATCAAGTATTCCAATCATAAAATATGATATAATAAAAATAAAAAGGCCTCATTCTATAAAAACGGAATTGGGACTACAAGTTCTCCCAAACACAAATAATTATATTTTAAAATAGTAATTTGAACATTTTTGATTGAAAATAAAATAGAGGAAAGAGAAAAGAAGTTGCTTAAAATAATTTGATAATTTAATGTGATTACATTTTAATCTATTATTTCCTCTCTTATCAATATTTTATTTAAGTCCATGATGCTCCCTTCAGACATAGAAGGTAAGGATGAGACGGTTGCTCTAACGGATATATCAGTATTAGATAATAAATATTCCAGGAAATCTGGAGGTTTGAATGAAATTTATATTTTATAACTTCTATTATGATATTAAGGAAATAAATACATTAAAAATAAGAATAAAGAATAAGAGAAAATGGGAAAAATATAGATAAATGAAGAAAGAGCTAATGATAGCAAGGTAAGGAAATATTTTTGAATTAATTTCAATGTTATCGATTTTGTTATAGGTCAAATCGTGCAATCTTCGATCTTACAAACTCCCATCATATTGATAGATGTTAGAGAATTTAGGAGCGAACTTCCCTCCTACTTGTATTCCTTGCCCTTTATTGGCGATACTCTAGGAGGTCTAAAATTAAAAAAAAAATAAAATCATTCTTTTCTCTACTAAAATGTTGTTGTTTTTAATATGAAATGAAATCTTATCACAACAGAAATTTAATAATTTAATTTTATATAGCATTATTTAATCAATGCACTCGATGTGTAAAGGTTATCTATAAAAAAGTTACATACTACCCCTATTTCTACTTTGAAAAAAGAAGGAGCATCGTTATTAATAGCGGAATTTCAAGGGTTGCCTTTTTTATACTTAATTATTTTGGTTTATAGATTTAATTAACTGTCTTATTAAACTTTATTATTTATTTATAAATTTATAACTGTCCTTCGTTATGATATTTGTCAATTTTACCGAATCGAAAAGGGTATACATATTCCTTATTAGATTTAAATGAAAAACTAATTTTAAAAAGGTTCAATGATTAAGTTTATAAAGTTTCGAATAGAGACGAAAAACTTTTATAATTTATCTCTTACGGCTTCGATGCTAAAAAGAAACACTTTAATATTATATTGATTAATATAATTTTAGAGCCTAAACGAGTTTGTAAATTCTGGTACTTGTTGCTAATAATTAAATTCTTTTGTTTTTATTAAATTATTTAATTGGATAAAGTACATGGAGGGATTTCTCCTTCCCCTAAGCCAATTACCATATTACCCCTCTAGAAAATTTTATCTTCTCACACCCACCAAATCTGTATTAGCTAAAAAAGGTAATTCAAATCAAACTTTCCTTACCTCCCCTCCCCCCTTCAATTTTATTCTAATAACGATTGCATCATAACTGTAGTAACTGTATATTAACTATTTGGCGCGCATTTTATTATTAGTAAGGTATTTTCATGTAATTGTTGATTATTTTGCTTTACGATTTATTTGCTACTTTTAAATAATCAAAAAGTGCGTTTCAAAAATATATTAAATTATAACTTAAGGTTTTTGTTATTTCATATTATTATTATAAAATGGTATATATATATATAGTATGTAATTCGATATAATTTGAACTTACATGAACTTATCAATGACGATCCTGTCTGAGTATATAGGATCAAGATAAGAGTTTTTTTTTATAATTTTTTCTAATTGGCGGTATATTGATATGTTTGACAGTAACATCATAGTTTATAATATTTTTAGACGACTCTACTCCTGTTAGGCTCAAAATTATCCCCTTGACTCTCCCAATCGGAGATTACATCCTTACTTCTGAACTATGTGTTGAGAGAAAGACCGTACCTGATCTGGTTCAATCATTTAACACGGGCCGGCTTTATCAACAGATTAAAGCGATGGTGAGAACTTATGCCAAACCGGCATTGATGATAGAGTTCGAGAACGATGTTAGACCTTTCATTTTACAGGTTGAGGATCATACGCGTATTTTATTTTATTTTAAATTTCATTTTCTTTTTTTAATTGTTGAACCCTTAGATAAGAATGTGTATTACATATGCCCATACACTAAAAAGTTAAAATATTATTTTGTTTGCCTAAGCTTGGCTGCTTACTTTCTAGGGTAATCTTTATATAGATATTTTGTTATTGAAAAAAAAACTTTTTATTTATCAAATTATAATTGTTTAATATAACATTTATTTAAATATAATCACAGCGATACTGCTAAAAAATATATAAATTTCTATCCTAATTTAAAAAAAAAGAAGTTTATTGACTTCAAATTATAGGTCTACACTGAGTGTTGTTTTTAGTCCACTCACCCATCTATTGTTTTAAAAACATTTTAACCTGCCCCCCCCCCCCAGGTTAAAGTTTTTTTACACCTCTATTTTAAAATGTTTTGGATCTCCCGTTCTTTTAATCTTTTTCTTTCTTAAATTTAATTAGCGAAAAAGCTCAAGGGAGTAAACAGCGTCTTTTGTAAATCCGAATGTTTGTTTCATTTTAATTTATTTCTGAGGAATAGCTCTAGTGGATATGTTAGATTTAGAAAAAGGGGAGTAAATGTGAAGTCCCATGTGACCTTTTATCACAATAGTGCTTGCCAAAAGGAAAATAAGTATAAACTTCGCATTTTTAAGGATTTTCATATTATTTATAGCCGTATGGCGCTACCACACTATATTTCCATAACGAAGAGTAATTACAATAATTATATTGTTTGGCACTATGATGATAAAGAAAATTTTTTTTGATAATAGGTGAAAATTAATAAAAAAAATTCTATACATTTAATAAACTAAAATTTTTCAAATCTTAACTATCATAAATTTTAAAGGCGAGATCAACAGCAAGATCTTTATACTCAAAACCCTCGTCTTTGGCTTGCCAACTAAATACCGAAATTTCCGCCCTGGATATCCAATCCAAATTAGTCATACTGACTAAACATTTTCCTTCTCTAAGACTCATTTGGTGCTGCAACCCAAAAATGGCTGCCGAACTTTTTTTCGAATTTAAAGTGGGAAAACCTCAGCCCTGCATACCTAATACGATAGATAACAATAATAAGATACGTTCTACTTCTGACATTTTATACGATGAAGATAGTCAAGACATTGATTTGCTAAGTCAGGAAGGGGTGAAAAGTAACCTATTATAGATAATATATGTTTATATAAAATCCTGCACAGTTGATTTTACCAAATTTGGACAAAGATTCCCTTTGGGGTCGTTAATTAATTTTAGATTTTTATTCGGAGAGCCTTTTTTATTAGCTTCTTTAGTTTTTCTGGATCAGATTAGGACCTTCTTTTAAACTGGATAGGTTAGTCCTTTAAAAAATATGGATCCAGATCAATGGGTCGAACCTTAATAATTAGCAGTACAAGATTTTGATGCTGTACATTATCACTTTGTAATTAGTTCACGATCGCATAATTCATTTTATATTTACCTCTGGGTTATAAAGAATGATATTTTTTTTACAACTTTGCCATAAATGACTGACTACTGCGCCAAAATTTTACCATATGGACCCATTTTTTTCCTGCTCAAATAAGATTTTGCTTTCGGGTTAAATACGGTTTATATTATTAATGGTAAGCGGAAAATATTCTCCGGAAAAAAATTCCCCGAATAATTTATTTTCATCAAAAATAACCCCGCCGCTAAAATAACGAAAATATTTATAAAAAATTATATTCAGTATTTTCTGAACGTTGAGTTATTCTCGACGTTTGAGGATTCTTTTTGAGCATCATTTCTGTTTTAATAAGCGATATAGGGCGATAAGATATAGGAATTGATAAATTGGTTGGTAGCTTTGATAATTTAGTAGAGAGCATAAAAAGTTTAGATTTGTCACATCTTGGAAAGAAAACATGATAGATTTTTATAGAAATAGATGAAAATTATGGAAGAGGCTTTACAATTTAAAATTGAAAAAAAGTGAAAACATTGTTTCAATATCATTTTAATAAAATAAAATATAATTATTTCTTTTCTGTAAATTTTTAAAATAAATTCACAAACTAATAATTATAAGATTTATAATACTCAGTGATAGATGTTCTTTGATTAAAATGGTTAGCATTTTTAATAACTTTTGGTAGTATTTAATATAAATTGGGCAGTAAAAAAATATAATTTAGCAAATTTTATATTGATTTTATATTCAGCCAGTTAAATTCTTATAGTAGGCATTAAATACTTTAGTAAAATATTTTTTATCAAATATAGGAGACCAGGTTGAATTGCAAATTTCCTATTTCGACACAGAATTTATATATATAATTATATCATTTAATAGCCCATCTTTAGTATTAAAAACAAAAAGGGGCGCTATTTAAGACTTAGTAAAAGTCATGCTATTATTTTTGCCCACTAATGACAAATTACAAATTTGTGACATAGATAGAACTTAATATATTTTATATTCTAAAAATTATCAAAAAAAGACTTCATATATTGCATAACAAAATTATACCAATTGAAAAATATCTATTTTTGAAGGCAATGTGAAAAACCTCATTTAAATTTATATTTCTAAAAATTTTATGGAAATGATCAATAATTTGTGTAAAAATAAAAAAAAATTTTAAATAAAAATTTGACTTTCAATAAATATCTAAAAGTTGATGAAAATTTGTAAAGGTGAATTAGATTTATTTACGTTTTATTATTTAAGACCTCTAATCTTCGAAAGAATCTGAATTTAAAAAAACATTTTGATTTAATTAAAGCGCAAGTCCTAGTCAAAAATGGTATGAATTTATCTGGCCAATAAAAAAAATTTGGCTGGCAGACTAGGTATCCAATTCGTTTATTTTATAAATATTGATGTTTAATTTTCACCAATTGGGTTCGGGATAAGGCCTTAACATCATACATTATATTGGTTAGGGTTAATTAATAATAATATAAAAATTTGGTTAGGTTTAATAGTAAATTTTGTTTAACAATTTTATTTGGCAAATTTTTATGAAGATTTTATTTTTATTATGTTGATTTTCTCAAAAATTTTAAATATTTTATTTGGGGATTTTTTTTCTTATTTTGTTAATTTTCTAAAAATAATTTAGTATTTTATAGGATAAAAAACAGGGAATTTTTTCTCCGGAGAATTATTTTCTTGGTAAATTTTTTTCCTGTGGATTTTTTTTCCGAGGAGTAATCTTCTGGGGAATTATTTTCCTACATTCATTATTAATACAAATAGGAAATTGTTTGGGACCGAAAATGATGCTCAAATTATGTACGGAGTAACGTTATTTCAAGAAAACCCCGACCATTTGAACCGAACTCTATTTTGCCCTTGTTAATTTAATTACATTATAATTTATTCAGCATCTTTTCTAAGTTAATCATTTTGCTTTTTAATTTTGTATAATTAATAACACTAAGTTATTAAACAAACAACACTGATTGTTAAAAATTACAATAATTGAGTTTAAAATTAATGAAGCTACTCTTCTTTATCAAAATTCTGCTGTCATTCATTTTATAATGGTCAGAAATTCCCTCTCTCATCTGATTTCTTCTCATCCATTCCCTTCTATCTAGTCTTAACATCGCCATGCCCTTATTCGCAAAGTCCCTTCATTTTTCAACAGTCTCTTTTTTCTCTTTCCACTTTTAAAATGAGGTTCTCGTCTTCATAGGGTTCTATTTCACAAAATATCCTTAATCTTTCGCTGGTATTTGCCTAGCGCATCACAACTTAGCTCCTTATTCCATTCCATATTCTTTTACTCGACTAACATTTGAGGCTATATATATTACCATTACACGTCTTTTTTAATGTTCTTTTCCTCTGAACTCCTTCTACATATTATCTTTTCCACTTTCTTTACATCGTTCGCAAATTCTTCCATATAATATCTTATATATGCATGACTTTTTGTCTAATTCTCAATAAATTTATCTTTCAGCCCACTTAGCTTTTATATAAATATAGCCTCCTCAAAGATATAAAAAATGAAACAAGTTTGTAATATATTGTTTAAAATATGTGAATTTTAGAAGATTATTTTAAAAAATTAATTACTTATTAACAGAGTTTGGAATTAAAACTATAAATCTTAGGACCGCGTCAAATCTTTAAACCAAAACTCACAACCTCATTTAAAAACCTGAACAAGCACCATTTTTAATTCAGGTTCCAAATTCTGTCACCATTTTTAATTCAGGTTCCAAATTCTGTTTTTAAATCCCTCTGACATATATTCAATCCTATTTCTACCATTCTGCCTTAGGTATCTGCCTTATTTTTTTCCATTTGGTTTCTTGCAGGCAAAGGGTTAAATTGCTATAAATATATTAAATTAATCAATTTTATTAAACATTTAGATGACATGAACGATGAAACAACCGTTTATAATATTAAAACCACAAATTTCGGCCATTTAGCTTTCGATATGCTTTGCAAAATACCTGGGCTAAACGTTAAAACAGCTAAAATGTTGGTCAAAAAATGTCACTCTCTGCTAGATTTGAGCGGTTTGACATTGCTAGATATTTCACAAACTTTGGGTAACTCAGCAAACGCCGACAAAATGTGGAACTTTTTACATAATACCACCCGGAAAAAACTTCATTAGTGATCATCACATGATAAGCTATAAAGTGAGTTTAAAAATAATAAAATGTATTATAAATCTTTTAACTTGGAAAGGAAGAAAAATAAACTAAGATTTAACCTATGAAACCATTATTTATTCTATAATTGTTGATATTTTGTTGCATAAAATTTTGCTACAAACCTATATTATTTTGTAAATTAAATATAAAGCTCCCCTCTCGCGATAATACCTTGAATATACGTGTACTTATTGTATTTTCCAATCGGGTCACGACCCATTTTTTCATTTTCCTATCTATATCCGCTTATAATACAAATTATATAAAACTATATTGGTTATAATAGTATATATATTTAAAAATTTGTCATTATTACTCAAATGATCTCAGGAAAATAAAAAAATATTATTGTAAAATTATCATTTTTGTAACCTTACTATACTATCTTAATATAAATATGGCTCTCTATATATTACTTTACCTTTTTTTTATATTGGTGAATAAATTTAAAAAAAAATCTTATCAATTTGCTGTTGAATTTGTAACTTATTACAAATATTATTTAATCAATATTTTATGGAAATAAAACCAAAAGATATTTTAGCGAGTAAACCCCTAAGAGATTTTAAAAAGCAGGCAATTATGCACTGATTAGTTTTTAATCTATAATAACTAATTGTTTGATTATTTTATTATCGTATTGATGATTTAATGTGTTAATATGTAGGAAATTTAAAATATTTCCGAAGGAATTTTTTTTATACTCCTTTATTTTTGATGGTAGGAAAAAGATAATACTAACTTTTTGAACCACTTTGACCTCCAATCTAATGTGTGGTATGAGTTGAAGATTTTTTTATGATTAACAGATTATTCCTTTGGTATGATCTCAAAAGCAGGGGTTTCACTGGCAATTAAAGTTCCTGCTATTGGCAGTTATCTTTAAAAGCCGTCGAAAGGTTATTTTACATAGAATTGATATTTCCTCCATTCATCTTTATTGATATTACATTTTAAAGACCAACACCCTACTTATCCAAATGGGTCTAACTTTCTAACATATCTCGTCATATTATTTTAAAATTAATATACCCTTTTTATTTCTGTAAAATTAATAAAATGACAGAATTTTAAGGAACAAGTGCAGCAGAATGTAATTTTTATAAAATGTTTCATCGAAACTTTAATTTTTTTTTAAATTATATCATATGGTTTAATAAAGGTATATTTTATTCTTTATGCCATTTTAAAGGGTTGAGTACTGTTGTGGCATATATTATTGTCCTAGATAATTATGCTTAAAGTATAATACTTTAAAAAAATTATTAAAGTTTAGATTTGGAAAATAAAAGACAGAAAGGAAGAAACGGAAAAAAGGATAGAAAATAAAATTTAAATAGGATATAATTAATTATAATACAGAACAAACAATTATTAATAGTATCAGGTGCCTAGCCTGGGGGGGGAGCTTAGGCGTGTAGCCAGTAGTGTTGTTAAACGGCTGAGCCAAGCCGGCTTAGCCGAAAACTCAGCCAGATTTTGAGCCAAAAATTCGGCTCAGGCTCAAGCCAGCCGTTGGCTCACTCAAGCCGATTATTGAGGAGAAATTTATTTATTTGAGATTAGTGTTGCTAAACGGCTGAGCTAAGCCGGCAAAACCCTAAACTCATCTAGTTTTTGAGTCGAAAATTGACTCAAGCCGGCTCTTTGAGCCAAATAGTCGGCTGGCTCGAGTCGGCTCATCACTTGGCTCAAGCCGACTTTTGAGCCGAAATTTATTTATAAACATCTGAGCCAAGCCGGCTTCTTAAATTCAGCTTGTTTTTGAGTCAAAATATGACTAGGCTCAAGCCAAAAGGAAGAACCCATAATTAAAAAAGATCTACGACACATATTGCATCGGTCTGGCAGACTCTTGTTTTTTAAGACTATGGATATTAAATAATCGGTTACTGCCACTCTCTGGGGGGGGGGGGGGGGTATTATTATTATTTTTTAATGTTATTTTTTTTAATATTGTTTTTTATATTATTTTTATTTAAGATATTTTTAGGAGAATTTTGCCTACAAATTTAATTTTTTTGTGGTAAAATATAGGAATTATTAATTCCGCATATTTAAGATATTTTTAGGAGAATTTTGCGTAGAAATTTAATTTTTTTTGTTGTAAAATATAGGAATTCTTAATTCTGCATATTTAAGATATTTTTAGGAGAATTTTGCCTACAAATTTAATTCTTTTGTGGTAAAATATAGGAATTCTTAATTCTGCATATTTAAGATATTTTTAGGAGAATTTTGCCTACAAATTTATTTTTTATTTAAGATATTTTAAAATAGTTTTTTCTACAAATTTTTATTTAAGATATTTTGAAAAAGTTATTACTACAAAATTGTGTATTAGGGGTAAAAAAATAGGAATTCTTAATTCCGCATCGTTTATATATGAAGGTGGGAGGGGGCAGGAGAATTTTGCCTACAAATTTAATTTTTTATTTAATTTTGTATTAGGGATAAAATAGACCCCACCTTTGAAGTTTAAGTGATTTTTTTAACCTTTATAGTGAAGGATATAGTATTAAATGACTCAATTAACTATAGTATTAAAATTTATACACGAAATATAGTATTAAATTACCAATTTTATTCATTAAATTGAAATTTATTATTGAACAGTGATATATAAAATGAATAAAAATATCAAAACGATTTAACAATCTATATTTTCTAAAAAATATCTATATTCTACTAGTAGATATTCATGATTATTATCCTTATCCCTATGTTTTTCGGTTACATGTCAATACCGCGAAAATTTTAGCGCGAAATGTATTATCGCGAATGTCGATTACCGCGAAAAGATATTATAGCGAATGCATTACAGCGAATGCATTATCGCGAATATAATATAGCGAATGCATTATAGCGAATATAATACAGCGAAATATTATAGCGAATGTATTAGCGCGAATGTAATACCGCGAAAATGTTATAGCGAATACATTACAGCGAATGAATTATCGCGAATATATTACCACGAATGCATTATAGCGAATGAATTATCGCGAATACATTATAGCGAATGCATTATAGCAAATCCATTATAGCGAATGCATTATAGCGAATGAATTATCGCGAATGCATTATAGCGAATGCATTATCATATCGCTAATGGAGTTTCATGAAAGTTACAATTTTATATTTATCGACTTTTCGACTGACTTAGTTGAATCTGAAAATTAAGTTAAAATGGGGATTGGCTCTAAAAACATTTTTTTATTGAAATTAAGGCTAAGGCTTTTCTTTTTTTTGACTCAAAATATATAAAAAAGATTCTAAGTAATAAAATAGATTTCTCTTTTTCATCTAATCATTTTAAATATTAAACATCAAGTTTTTTCTTTTTAATTTATTGAAAACTTGTAGGGGAGAACGGGGTTATGGCGAACCCTAAAGGCAAACCTTAAGAAAATTATAAGTACTTTATCATTTTTAATAAAAAATATCTCATTTTGTTCAGCTCTATTAGTTTTATGATATGTTTAAATTTCAAAAATACATCTCTAATAATTTTTTCAAAATATCATTTTTCCTGGAATTTTTTTTGGTAACCGAGTGAACCCTACCCGGGGACGAACAAGCCCTTGGTCGAGGCTATTATAAACTCTGCTTAATTTTCCATATATAAAAGTTATATATTTCTTTATTAGGATATATTTAATGATTTAAAACATAAAAGTGTTATATAAAATCATTTAAAACATTCACAATCTTTGCAAATAAAAAAACAATAAAATTGCAAAGCCATGTAACTAATAACTGACATTGAAAGCAGTCTTGATTGTTATGCTTGATATAATTTATTTGTATACCAAACAATTATTTATCATATAATAACATTTTTCGATTTTTTTTCTTTTAGTTGGTCTCTCCTTGGCTTTTTTTGCATGTCAAATTTTTAAAAAATAGCAAAAAAAAAGGTTCGACCTAACCCCATAAAAATAGCCCCAGTAGCACCACTTTGAATAAGATCATATTTTGAAGTATTTATATTATCAATTTTGTTCGGGTAAATTGTTATTCTATAAAATAGGATTTTTTCTTTTATATAAGATGATTTTTGTGTGGTAAAATTGTATATTAATCTTTATTTTTGAAAAATAGTAAAAGTGTAAAAAGTTACTTTTGAAGGTACAAATGATATAAAGCATTATAAAAATTCTTCAAGCGGTTCGATAGAAATAAAAATTATAGCCGCATATGCAATATATAAGTATATAGTTTTGGCAAAAAATTATCTCTTAGAGTTTAATACTCTAGAAAATAAAGCCACTCTCACTATAACCCTGGGTTCATTATAACACCGGTCTCCCCTAATTATGGGCATCAGAAATTTTTTAGCTTTAGCTGATAACATAAAATAATATCACAAAGTTCTTTCCAAAAGTGTCTTACTTTGTGGAATAAACAAAAAATGTCTACCAATATGGCAGGTAACATCAAGAAATTGGGTAGGTATCTGATAAATTCTAGTGGAATTCGTATTAAGAATCTATGGTTTTGCTTAATAAAATCTTAGTTGAAAAACAAAAGGAGATTGATGAGTTATATGATAACCAAGGGGTTAGCTTGGTGAACTGGATTAATATTCCACTTTTTCCTAGAGAATTCAGGAATTAAACTTGATTCCAATTTTTATTCTCATGTCAAAATTTTATCATTATCAGATCTTTGATAAAATACATAATTTAGAAAATTATCGTATGTTTATATTGTTAGTGGTATTTAATAATGAGATTTGTTTAATAATGCCAAAATATTTTATGTTATAGTTTATGAATTTGAAGAAATCTTTAAAAATATATATTTTTGACTACATTTTTTTATCTTAATTTTCTAAAAGCCACTTTATAAAATTTAAAATATTTTGTTTTTATGTTATAGTTTAAAAGGAAATCTTTAAAAATATATATGTACGACTACATTTTTTTTATCTTAATTTTCTAAAAACCACTTTAAATTATATATTTTGAGAATATTAAGACAGGAGATTTCATAAAAAACGAATGACACGTTTCGGAGTTAATAAGATTTCAAAACGCGACGTTTTTTAGCCGCCCGGTAAATAATCAAAATTTTTGATCTCATTATCAACTTTCTTCCAATAGTAGGAATAGGACTAGTAGTCGTTTTTGTCAATATCATCATAAGCTTGACAATTTATAATTGAATTTATTAAATACCATGAGATAGCCCAACAAACACTTAACTTAAGTTATACGTTAATAAATATTTTTAATATTTTATATTTTAAGATTGATTCTAGTAAAAGTTAATTTTTGCCCCAACAAGCCCCAAACCCCAGGCTTGTAGATTACATTGGTTTATTAAGTCTCCTATAGGATAATTGTTATTATCAATAATACACCATTTGTATATAAATAATTCATAAAAAATTTCAAAATGTGATATTTATTTTAAAAAATGTTTAAGTTTTAATGAATTTTTTAATTTTTTTCTAATTCTTTTGATTATCAACCACCAGAAAAGGTGAAAAAGTTAAAGGGAAAATTCCAAAAATGTCTAAAGATTTTAATAGAAAAATTTTATTTCAGCCGCTGGGTTATTTTTGAAAGGATAGCTTTATCAACGCCAAAAAAAATTATACTTTTATTAATATTTAGCTATTTTTTACAGTACAGACAAAATTGAATTTAACATATTTCAATGTCATAATTAGTAATAAAATAAATAATATAAATGTTGTAAATTAATATACCTGTGTTCTTCGGTCTGCATTTTTTAGCACTGATTATTTAAAGCCCTGCCCTAAATTTTCAAATTTCGTTATTTTCTCTGTATTTTATAAATTGTTTTATACGGAATCTAAGATAAGTAAATAATATTAAAGCATAATTAAAATGTTTTTCACTATAATATTCTACGGCATAAAAATATGGATTTGTGGCCTTCTGTCTCTCTTAAAGTTGAAATTGTTTTAAACCGTATCATGAATAATAAACCAATTTGCACAGTGAGATTTAGAAATAATTAAATAGACAGAATATGAAATTAAAAAATCTTCTTTTCCCATTTCAGAAAGTCTCATAATCATTATGTTTAAAAATATTTATTGTAGGCATTCCCTTTCAGGCAGAATAATATGATTTGAAAATAACTTACAAAATATTAAATTTGAACTAAATTCACATATCATCTCTATTGAAACCACCAAAATATATAATTAAATATATTTTTTATCATTTTAAGATTTATATTTGAAACAGGAGTTGGCATTTATTATTTTTAAATTTAACAATGTTTAAATTTAAAAAAGATAAGATTTTATGTTTTAAAGCTATAAAATTAATAATTTTGACGATTACAAAAGATTTAATAAGATAGAGGTCTCAATCCAATGTTCCCCTTCATCTAATCTTATTTATAAAATTTTAAAAACTATCAACATATTTTTTTAGCGCTGGAAAGGGTTAATCATATCAGTAACTAGGGGCTAGTAGAATTAGGTCGAATTAATTATATTATGCTTAAAAATATGATATAATAAGTATTCATTGGCTATTATAGCTTTAAATTCTATTTTTTTCCCTTTAACTTTCACCTTTTCTGGTGGTTGATAATCAAAAGAATTAGAAAAAAAATTAAAAAATTCATTAAAACTTAAACATTTTTTAAAATAAAATATCACATTTTGAAATTTTTTATGAATTATTTATATACAAATGGTGTATTATTGATAATAACAATTATCCTATAGGAGGCTTAATAAACCAATATAATCTACAAGCCTGGGGTTTGGGGCTTGTTGAGGCAAAAATTAACTTTTACTAGAATCAATCTTAAAATATAAAATATTAAAATATTTATTAATAAAGTCTTTTGTAAAAAACGACTTAATCTAATCGTTAAAAAAAATTGAGTATACCAAATTCCACATATTTTTTAATAAAATACGAATTTCATAAATAACAAGTGACGTGTTTTAGAGGTAAATAATTTTAAAACGCTACTTTAAATAAATATAAACAATTAAGCTGGTTCTCTGGTTTTTTGGAACTTAATAAATGGGTTAAATATAATTTTGTCAAATATAAATCACTATTGCATTGTGATAATGTTAGTTGTAATGCATTCGCGATAATGCATTCGCTGTAATGTATTCGCTCTAATACATTCGCTATAAAGTTTTCGCGGTAATGCATTCGCTATGATGCACTCGCGATAATGCATTCGCGGTATTACATTCGCTGTAATGCATTCGCTATAATGTTTTCGCGGTAATGCATTCGCGCTAATATATTCGCTATAATATTTTCGCGGTAATGCATTCGCTATAATACATTCACGGTAATGCATTCGCTATAATATCTTTTCGCGGTAATCGACATTCGCGATAATACATTTCGCGGTATTGACGTGATACGATGTCTTTCATAGTTGGTTTTTAGATCCCGCCAAAGCCTTTCGACTTTTTGGGTGTTGATTGATCTGTCATTTGGATCAATAAAATTTCGTGAATTATTGACCCGATAATAGAAATAATTGGCTTGTTCTAACCTATTATATCTAAGATAAATAGATTTAATTTCGCTAAATAAAAAGTTAAATTTGTAGTTAAAATTCTCCTATTCCCCTCACTCCCCCATACTCTCCTGAATTAAGAATTCCTATATTTTAACCATATTACAAAATTTTGTAGAAAAACTTTTTTAAAATTTCGTAAATAAAAATTTATAGAAAAAACTATTTTAAAATATCTTAAATAAAAAATTAAATTTGTAGACAAAATTCTCCTAAAAATATCTTAAATATGCGGAATTAATAATTCCTATATTTTACAAAAAAAAATTAAATTTATAGGCAAAATTCTCCTAAAAATATCTTAAATATGCGGAATTAAGAATTACTACAAAAAAAATTAAATTGTAGGCAAAATTCTCCTAAAAATATCTTAAATAAAATAACATAAAAAAAAATATACATAAAAAAAATATTATAAAATAAAACGTGGTTAGTAGAACTTTTAGGATCAACTAAGTAGATGGAAAAATACCGGAAGACAGGAAGAGATATTTAGCCCGTGATTATACAAATATTTCTTTTGCCGCAAGTAATTCTCTTCCGGACTTCATTATCCAAACGGAAATTGTTTGGAATTATTTTTATATATTAATTTTGCCTAGGAGTATCAGCAAATGTTCGAATGTAAATTTATTTTATATAACATTATCCATTCGTACAAATAAATATTTTTTATAAAAAGTTTCCAAAAATGAGGATAATTCTTGATTTACAAAAGATTCTTTTCGAATAAGCTGTAAGAAAATGATATAATAATATAATTAGAATGATAATATGGTTTAAAAAAATATAAAGAAATATAAGGCTACTCATATTTATAAATGAATAAACCCTTTTTAACTATGTAAAGCTTATAATTGACAATAATTAGAATTTTTTTAATAGGTGAAAGGATATTAATGCTTAAGCAAATGACAAGATCTTATAAAAAAAAATTAATTAAAATTCATATATTATATTATGACTACTTTTTTTTAAAGGAATGTAATTATAATTTTTTGAAAATAAAATGTTTTGTGAAAATTAAAAAATTTTTTAAAAAAATATTGTAATTGAAAATTTGGTCATCACATAATTTTTAAATAAGTCCTAAATAATATTGAAATTGGGAGAGGGGAATTGAATGGTCTAGTTTTAGTCAAATATACGATACATGTCACAGCGGCTAATAAGAATGTGAATATAATAAATGTGATTAGTTTTCCCTGCTAATTATAAATCAAGAAAAATTGCACATTAATTTGTTATGGATTAAAAAAAGATATATATATCTTAAAAAGGTATAAAAGTAACATATTATTTAAAAAAAATTAAATATAATATAATATAAAGAGAATTATTTCCAATCTTATTTTAAAATATATAACAAAATGGAACTTTGTTAGAAATTTTCAATTTTCCTTCATATTCAATAAGATAGGAGTAACGTACGATGCAACATCGACATTGCATGTTTGGTATTTGATAACGAAGGGGTGTTTCTTGAAAATAGTAAATAAATTTTATAATTCGCGTCTATAAAAGTAATTACACCACGTTATAATTAGCAAATTTTGTGCGGAGAAATATGATTAAAAAGAATTACCAAGCACATTTTTTTAATATTCAAGATACATTATTAGCAGTTATAAATTTAAAGTTAATTTGGAAACAAAAAAAACAATTGATTTATGTTTTGATTTCACTAGAGGCATAGTGCTTTTTAGTCACATCGTATTCTTTTTCAAATAGTTTCCTATCCGGATTAAATTAATATTGAAAAAAGCACTATTAAATTTCAAAAGGCCACTAGGTGTTTCAAAAAGGACATGTGAATGTGACGAAAGAAAAACTATATAAAAAAAATATTTAAAATACATTCAAAAGTAAAAGATAAAAGCACTCCATAAATAATGTCCATTTTCATTTATAAATAATTTCCAATTTGAATTTAATATTTGGTTAAATCCCCATCCGCTTTAATTCAATTGTGCATTGAATATTGTAATCGAATTCCATATATCTACTGTTGAATATGTGATCGATATTAAGGCTTTATTTATTTTGGCAATTGATTTATTTTTTTTAATATCAATTTCTATTTAAAATTAATCGGTGAAAATTTTATATTAACATTTTTTTATATCATTTTAACGTTTTATATTTTTTTTAATATCAATTTGTATTTCACATATGTGGTTATTTTTTTATTGTTAAAAAAAAGATATAAAAAGAAAAAATGTTTTAGTTAAAACGGTTAAATAAAAAATGTAATTTATAATAAAAATAAAATGTGATTTATGATAATAAAATTCTGTCTTATTTTAATTATTCTGTATAAACACATCATGGTATTAATAAATAAACGAGGATCTGATTCAATTTTTACATGGAGGCCAAATTACTCCAAACTTTGCGATGGATGCTTTGAACAATTCCACATATAACTGAATTCGTCAAGCTGGATTTCCCTAAATTCAGCAGCGATGACAGCGCCTTCATAGGGAAATTGCAGAATTTCTTCGACACCAGCAAGATCTCCAACGGAGAAAAGGCCCGTTATTTCTCCGAAGTCTTCCAGATGAAGAATTCAATAATATTGGAGCAATTTGCACGGAGGCAGACTTCCAGAACCCAATCGCTCTGCTTGGCAAATTCAAGCTACAACATCCATCGAAGACTGAGAACGCCAAACTGTCATTATTTTATGCTGCCACTCAAGGCAAGAAGGAGACGTTCTCGGCTTGGGTCACATGTGTAGCACGACTCAATAAAGAATGCAAATTCAATGGCATTCAGCGCATTATTGAGAAAGGTTGCTTCGAATTCCAAAGATGTCAGGAAAGCGGCCAGGAGCTCTATGACTATAGAAGACATTTACAATCTAGGTCTAGAGGAAGACACCACGGAGCCAAGTGACATCAAGGGCGTGATGAAAGTTGAAGCTATTCATTTGACTGAATCACCTGGAATACAAGAGGTTAATCACATGGGCAGAGTCAAAAATAGTTACGTAATAACAAAACCCATTCAGGTCTCTCATGCACATGGTAAATCTCTTATCAAGCAACCCCAGTTCATCAATGACAATCGCCCCGACAATATTTCGATGAACTTTACGATGTACGCTGCGACAATTGCCGTGACAAACGATTCGATGGACGGCACAGTAACTTCCAAGACAATCGTTTTGATCAAAGCTACGATAATTGATACTATAACCGCAACCGTTTCGACAATCGCAACTAGTGTTGTTAAACGGCTAACTCAATATTTTATTAGGAAAAATATTATGCAAGCCTTAAGATTTAGCTCATAATCTCGAGGCTTAGACATTATTTTTCTGGCTAAAATATTGAGTTAGCCGTTTTTAAAAATCGGCTCAAAATGAGCCGTTTAACAACACTAATCGCAACTATAACTACTACGACGATCGATACAACAATAGCGGGTACAACGTCCATGGCAATCGCCACGACTATCATTGTGACCATCATCAAAGCTCTGATCGACGGAATGACTGCTATAGAGGCGATAACCGAACCAACTATTCCCGTCGTGGTCAACACAGACACAACCCTCATTAATGGCTTTTCGAAATATTTGTCGAGTTGAAGCACAACCATTATAATAATGACAATAATACATATAACAGATCATCTAATTATAAAGATCGTGATTGTCAATTGAACGAACTATGCCAAGAACATCGTAGCAATCGATGATTACGACGACTCAAACACAGACCTTAAAGAATATAATATTCAGAATCTTGAAGTGCACAATCTGGGGGTCTACGACACCAGATATGACGCATACAACGTGACGGTGAGCATCAACAACATACCCACGTTGATGCAAGTTGACACCGGTACGAGGTACACTAAACTTCCGAAGCTAACAGCTAAGAATGTAGGCATAACCACGATAAGTAAGACGGATATGAAACTCACTGGTTATGACGGCAGCGCCATCAAAATATTAGGTCTTGCCAATGTGAACGTTAAGTATGAAGGTAACTTACAAACAGTGGAGGCCATAATGGTGGATTGTGATAAGATCCCCCTGCTAGGGCGTATGTGGCTCCACGCCTTCAACGACATTTTAAAAACGTTCTTAGTGGGCAATGTAGAGAATGATCTCGAGAAGGTAATCTCGACAACAAAAAAAGACCTTGAATCAACTTACTCCTTACAAACCCAAAATGGTCAGACAAGAGAAAGTTCACTTGAAGCCCGATGCTGTGCCTAAGATCATACCTTCAAGAAGAATTCCGTGTGCCAAGATTGATTCGATGACTCAGAAATTGGATGGCTGGCTGAAGGACAACATAAACCTTACTCGAGAGGAATCTAGATGCCCGATGCCATGCACAGATGATCTGATCGCAAATAGGTAAGGGCTGCCTTTACTTTACCAAGCCATCGTTCGGTTTGAAAAGAAGACTGCACCATGAACATGGATAGGGTATTGCTTGGCGATCATGAACGTTAGGCGTTCCACTCAACATATCCAAGGAAATCATAAGCCGAATTTCTTTGGAGGGTGGAATGTTGAATATGTGATCGATATTAACGTTTTATTTATTTTGGCAATTGATTTATTTTTTTTGATATCAGTTTGTATTTAAATCTAATCGGTGAAAATTTTATATTAACATTTTTTTTATATCATTTTAACGTTACATTTTTTTTAATATCAATTTGTATTTTACATAATTGGTTATTTTTTTATTGTTAAAAAGATATAAAAATAAAAAATATTTTTGGTTAAAACGGTTAATAAAAAAAATGTAATTTATAATAAAAATAAAATGTGATTTATGATAATAAGATTCTTTCTTATTTTGTTGAATTATTCTGTATAAAGTATAAACACATCATGGTATTAATAAATAAACGAGGATCTGATTCAATTTTTACATCTATAATGGTTTTTTTTAGATTCTTCGTGGCCGTCCAAAATATTAATCCTTCTGACAACAGTCGATTTCATAGTATTACATGGTAATGTCATCTTAAATAAAACTGGATGATTAAGTCAAGATGATGATCTTATATCTAAACATTATTAAACGTCTATTATGCCATTTACAAAGTCCAGACCCAACACTTTTTGAACTCGAATTCCTATATCATTGTGTATATTGGAATAACAGATCGTTTTAAACAATCAGTTGTAAGTTACTACGATTATACGATCCCTAAGATTATCATCGAATCGAGATTCATCTGAAACGAGAATCAATTGTTCGTGGTCAAATTACTGTATTTAAGAGCCTGTTAAATCATTTCTTTTTTGAATAATCATTAATAGTGCCTTTTTGTATAGCATAAATTTAAAAATAAGCTAGGAGCAATAATACCAAATAAATAAAAACGAATATTCCATTTTATAAAATCCTTTGGCATGTTGTTGCAAAAATCTGTTTTTTTATAAAAGACCTCCACTTATAAATCAAATTCTGGGTGCTTGCATGACGTTTTTCAAGAATTATTTTTTTTTCAAGATACTATATTATTTGGGTATTTCCCATAATTTATGTAGATAAAGATTGGAGTCTAGAAGATCCATCAATTGAATAGTGGTGTGACTAAATTTAAGCTCTAGGAAAATATTTTATTAGGAATCTACTTGCTTCATTTATCAAATCACATACTATATTTAATGATTTTCCTTGCCTTATAAAATATTTTATGCAAGAAATTAATTAGAGAAAAAAATAATTTAAAATTTATTAAGATAAGATATAGATTTTACTTTTTTTATATGATTAAGTGTAAAGAAAGTTGACGTGATTTATGAAGCGCTTTTTTATTTTCTTTTTGAATGTATTTTGAATATTTTTTATATAAATTGATAAAATTTTCTAATTCTATTATGTTAATATATTATTATAATATATATATGTCGTATTGGGATACGGAATCATGTGGGATTCGGAATCCCAACCCACGTTTTATTTGGAATCTTTTAATATTTTTTTTCTTCCTTTTTTTTTGCCGTTTGGCTGGCACTAGAAAATTTCATTTTTTAGAGACATTTTATTTTCTATTTTTGTAAATTTATATAAAATAAAATCATAATTTTCACCTGAATATATATTTTTAAAAAAATCCGAATTATAAAAAATTATTTATTGCAACTCATTTTGCAATTGCACAATAATGTTTTCACATAGTTTGTGACAGGGAAGCTCCTAAATATTTTTAGCACTTTAAATAAAAAATTAATATATTTTATGTACGTTAATTAATTTGAGGAGTATATGTGGTTACTATAAAAATAAATTAAATTACCTATGAATATGATTGATATATCTTTGTTGGGACTTAAAAATCATTTAATTTTAAAGTTTTATATAGACTAGAGGCAATAAATTTTGTTAAAATTCTAGCACGCGTTCCTACCCATATTTTATTTTGTTCACCTTCTAAATTTTTAGGACATATATTACTTCAATCTGTCCTATGAATATGTAATAACATGTGATCACCTAATATGTCCAATTATTCGAGAATAAATTAAGTTTTGACGCCTAAGATCTATGAAATAAAAGAATGGGCCCTTATAAAATATTAGAAATACTATTCCCAATAGTATTGGTAGCATAACTATTTTTCCATGTAATTTTATAGCCAACATTTTTTGAACAAGGACTATTAGTAATAATATGGACAATTTGAGAGCACGAATCTTTGTTTGAAACCTTTGCTATTTTAGTAGCGATGTATATAGCGTTCACATAATCTTCCTCATTGGTAAACAATAAAAAAAGTGACGGCTTATCTGTGATATAAAAATAAATATTTTTATTTAATATCCCCTCTTTCCCTAATCGTTAAAAATATAATCTATATTTCCTTATTATCAAGGAAAATCGCTATCGATATTTATTTATATTAAAATTTTTAGCTTTTAATGATTTTTTAAATAAAAAAAGATCACCCTCGACTCAGTCTGGAAGATTTTTTTTAAATCGTGAATATTGAACATTTTTAGATATATTCTATCATGCGTATATTGTTTCAATATTTTTAATTATTGTATTAACACTAGGATGATTATTGTCGTTATGATGAACCTTTAATATTGAAAGAATATTGGATATTATAATAACTGTTTTTTTTACAAAATAAAGATTTTCTAAATCTATATATATGTCGTATTGGGATATGAAATCATGTGGGATTCGGAATCCCAACGTGGGGATTCAAGATCTTAAATCCCCATGTTTTATTCGGGATCTTTTTTTTTAAATATTCTTAATCCCCATGAAAAAAAAAATAAATATAATTACCTTTTCTTCTCTTTTTTTTGCGGCTGTTACCATATAATTAAGGCCAAAATAAAGGATTTAAAAAAAAAGTAAATAGTATAAAATTAAGGCATATAATAAATGAAAAGGGATGAGGTTAAGACATTTTTGTTTTAAAAAATATTAATAGAGGAAAAGAAAGCGAAAAGAGGTGCGGGCCTAATTTTTTATTCAGGGCCCGCCCGCTCACGGTGGCAATAATCACGCCCATTCACGCTTACCACTAAAAAAATTTCGACTCGACCCGCCCGAAAGGCAATATTTTGATTCACGTCAATTCAACGGTGTTTTTAAATTTTTCTAAATTTTAATACTATAATTTTTTACATTTTGAATTTACTCTATTTATTTCTTTAATTCCATAATCCATAAAAACAAAAAATAAATACATATTATAAATCCAAATTTTTACTTAGAAAAAGAAGAATGTCTATTTTTAAAATTTTAATTATGTACTACTTTCCTCTAATAGGCGATTGGCTACAGAAAATAACCTTTCACTAGAAGCCGAATTTGCCAGGGCTGACAAAATTTTACTCTCTAATTTTTTCAAAAAAGGAAATAAATTTTCCTGCTTCCAAAACTTCAAAATATTGCCATTGTTATTTGTTTTATTTTTTAAAATTTTATTTTGATAATATTGATATTGGTATAATTATAAAAAAAAATCAGACCCGATGGCTTAACTTGCACCCTCTGGTCCAATGGGAAATCCCTTATTTGAGATGCAATCTGCGTATCATCCTTTTCAATTAATACAAACCCTCTTACTTGTGGGGAAAATAAAAAAATTAATAAATATTCAAAATTAAATAACTTTATATTTCGCCAATAGTCATTTCAACTAACGGCAATTTTTCACAGTCTACATATATTTTTTAAAAAACTTTATCATGAATTTTTTTAGCATAACAAACGAAAATCGCGAATTCTTATTTCTTAAACAAAAACTTCAATTGGAAATTTTTAAACACAATTATATTTGCTTTTTAGGTATATTTTCATTATTAAATTAAGCTCTTTTTAAAGCCTTCGATGCTATTAATATATATTTTTTTTATATATTTTTACATATTTTTCTATATTAATATTTTAGTGTTTTATCATATAAACGTGTTCTTATAGTACAGGCTGTTCCCGCAACACATGTTTCTGTAGAAAGGGCTTTTTCGGGGCTAAAATTTGTGTTATCATCACAACGAACAAAAAGGAATCATTTATACTTGAAAATATATTACTTAAAAGTTCAAATAATATATTTAAAAATAAGTTATTTTGAATCTTATATATTTTTTTTATATATAATTCATAGATGCTTATAATAAAAATAAATTAGAATATGATGTTGCTTCAATAAAAAAAAATTTATAACCGTAATGAACCTTTATAATTAGCTGAACCGAACCTTTACAAATTTCTTCTCAAGAACCGTAACCATTTAAATTTTTTACATACTGAACCGTGACCAAACTGAACCGTTATAAATAACGGTTCGGGTCCCTGCTTAAATGTTCAACGAAATGCTTATTGCATTGAATAATTGTTGCAATAATTCGGATATTTTATAAATATATTTTTTAAAACAAAAAAGTCTTAACCTTATCCCTTTTCATTCATTAAATGCCTTAATTTAATACTATTTACTTTTTTTTAAATTCTCTTTTTAAATCCTTATTTTGGCCTTTTAATTATATGGTGCCAGCCGCAAAAAAAGAAAAAGTAATTATATTTATTTATTTTTCATGGGGATTCGGAATATTTTTTAAATATTTAAAAAAAAGATCCCGAATAAAACGTGGGGATTTAAGATCTTGAATCCCCACGTTGGGATTCCGAATCCCACATGATTCCATATCCCAATACGACATATATAAAAATACTTTAAATTTTAATTATGACGGTATATTTTGAATAGATTTGTATTTGGGTGTTTTTAATGTAATTTTAATAAATTATATTCTGTATCTGTTTTGGGTAAAAATGATTGAGGCATTAAAAAATTTTTTTAACTAAAATTAAAAATAAAATAAGTATTAATATAAATTCACAAAGACAAAAATAAATTTTCAAAATGTAATAATTTAGAAATTTTATGAAAAAAAAATCCCGCCCAATACGATTCTTAATTCATATTAAAAATAAATTTCTTGATAATTTATACATGGAAATATAGTTATGCTACCAATAATATGGGAATAGTATTTCTAATATTTTAAAAAGAGCCCATCTTTTATTTCATATTTAATTGATCGTGGGTGTTAAAACTTAATTTATTCACAAATAATTAGACAAAATAACTTTATTAGGTGAACACGTATTATTATCCATAGGAGAGATAGAACTAATATCTGTAAATTTAGAAGGGAATGTGTTAAAAATTGAACAAAATAAAATCTGGAAGAATTTCATCACCATTTATTGCCTCTAATCTTTTAAGTTCCCAACAAAGATATATCAATCATAGGTAATTTAAGTTATTTTTATAGTAACCACATATACTCCTCAAATTAATTTATGTACATATAATATATTAATTTTTTTATTCACGCTGCTAAAAATATTTAGGATCTTCCCTGTCACAAACTATGGGAAAACATTATTATGCAATAGAAAAATGAGTTGCAATAAATAATTCTTTATAATTCTAATTTTTTAAAAATATAAATATTTATTTTATATAAATTTACAAAAACAGAAAATAAAATATCTCAAAAAAATGAAATTTTCTGGTGCCAGCCAGACGGCAAAAAAAGGAAGAAAAAAAATATTATTTAAAAGTTTTAAAAAAATATACATGGAGATTCGGAATATATTTTAAAAATATTTAAAAAAAAGATTCCAAATAAAAAGTGGGGATTCAAGATCTCGAATCTCCACGTTGGGATTCCGAATCCCACATGATTCCGTATCCCAATACGACATATATATTTATATTATTAAAAATATTTTGTTTAAATTGAGTATTGTTATTTTTATCGAAATTTTTTTAAAAAAAATTGTGAATGGAGAAAATATGATGTAGTAAATTTTATTGTTCTCATAACATCAATATTATATAACCTAACTTCCTGCAAAATTATATTTTATAATATTTAATAAAAAAAATGGATCAAGATAATTTAAGTTAGACCTGTGCGCTGTAAGGATTTTAAGCTATATCGAAAAGACCGCAGATTGAATTTAGGTACGACAGGCTCCCCTCTATTTTTTTAATAGAGCAGAGGCTCAGCGCGAAAATATTTAAAATGATATTTATAAATTTAGTTTATTGCACCATTCATTTTAGTATATAGGTACAGCCAGATGGTGGAGGCAAGGGGAAATCCGTCCCCCTTACTAAATATGTAACTAAAAATGTCCTCCTTACATCCCGATAACTGCCGATGAAATAAGAAATAAATAATGCCGATTCATAATATCTTGGCGCACAAGATCTAATTTAAGTAAATTATTATTCATTTTTAAAATTCAACAATCATTTACCAGTAAAACATTGTATTTAGGCCTTTGGTTTTCATCCTTGATCAAGCTAATATAAAAAAAAATTTTTTAAAATAGAAATAGTAATACACAGTAAAATACATGTATCATCATTAAGAAAATATAATAACTAATTTAGCTTTTAAAACCCGGTAACATATTTAATAGTAAATTTAAGTATACTATACAAAGCTTTTCCTTAGCTCTTTGGTTTACTAAAACTTAAAAAATATTTTATTTTTTCCCGCAACTTTTAAAGGTAATTTTGAAATGTGTATTCAAGTACACATTATGCATTAAAATTAAAAAAAAGTCTACAATATTTTCAACTTATTTCATTTAATATGATAAATAAAACACAATCATATGTATCAAAAACGGAGATGAGGATGGTGAGATGGATGTGGGGGGGGGGATCTCTGAGAGAGAAAAACTAGCAAGGAATTACAAACAATGATAGGAATAGAAGTGATTGAAGTGATAATGAGAAGAAATAGACTAAGATGGTTTGGCATGTGAAACATAAGAACGAAAGATGACTGGGTAGAGATGCATCTTGATAGAAGTAGAAGAATCAAGACCTCGAGGTAAGCCTAAGATGATGTGGATCTGTAAATATATTTTCGTATACAAAAAACGAATTATTCGAATAATCTGAATTGAATACTAATAGTAATTTTTATTATTCTTACGAATAGTACATTATTCGATTCGTTGTGTAATCAAATGAGCGTGCAATACTGGGTTTCACAGTTTCAAATTTCTACCCTTAAAACGAAATTAGTTCCATAATTGTTAAAATATATCTAACCCAAAAATAATTTCTATAAAATTTCAAACTATTATTATATTCTTTACCATAAATATAGGAAATAAAAAGTTCAAATGGAATAACAAAGACTACAGGACCGGCCTGGAACCTGGCCTGTGGTGAAAAATGGTGTAATTTTAAAAATTAGAATCGGGCCTGAAAATTTAAAAATTCGGACCGGTTTGGGCTTAAAAATTAAAATTTATATTAGATCAATTAAATCAGTTAGAAAATCATATAATGAAGCGTAATAAATATTTTTCAAATTCAAACGGCCAGGCTTGAAAATAAATTTTTCCTAAATTCAGGATGACTTATTTTTTTTGAAAGGCGAAGGAACGTTGATGTTGGCCATTTAAATTTAGGTATATCAAGAGTTGTTAAAGTATCTAAATACTTTTTTATAAAAGGTATATATATATAAATACATTTATAGTATAAGTATATGTATCAATCAAAAGATCTTGATATAATTTTATTTTGTGTTTTTATTATGTTTTTTTCTTTAAAAATAAAACAAACATGGCAAATTTTATTTTAAACAAATAAATGAATAGAAATTTTGACACCCATCAAATTTTGAATGATATTTTTTTAAATGTCAATATTTTACTATATTTGATCGGTATTTTAAAAAATATAATTAGCAAAGTATAACACAAATCTACCAGCGCACCAGACTTTTTAATGTAGTTTAAGGAAACGGGGATGCCTCAGGCCAGAGACCTTCATGAGCCGGATTGGCTCGTGGCCTATACCTGACTGATGGACCGGGCCAAATATTATATTTTTTAGAGTGCCTCTGGCTTGACAATTTATTTGAAACTTATGATGGGCTTGGGAATTTTCTAATATTATATATGGGCTGGCCTGGGTCTAAAAATCTCATTTAATGCGGGCCTGGGCCAGGCTCGATCAAAAAATTAAGGCCCATGAAGATCTCTGTCTCCGACCCCATTGATCAAAACTTTGAGAATGTTTTTTTATTATAAGAAGCTACCAATAATATATAAATTTAGTTATATATTTTATATATAAATAAAATATCAAATTGAACAAAAAAATGTTTTGTTCACTTTAAAATGTGAGTTTAATAAATTTTCAATTTTGAGATTATGCACATCTTACATTATTATAAAAAATAATATTGTATCTGTTCCTATATACATTTTTAGGTCATATTATATCTAGATACATTTGAAGGTTATCTTTTAACAACTCTGGTATACACTGACCCATAATTAGAGGTGCACGATTGTCTATTTCGATATGATACATACTTTTTGGAATGCCGATACCATCCAATTTCGATGCGGCCAGCTGGCTCTTTAATTTTTTAGGATCCTTTTTATTTTATATTTAAATTAATCTTAGATTATGCTCTTATCTATTATAAGCATTTTTTGAAAATCTTTTTAAAAATACAAATTAAATTAATCACTTCTCATAGCATTATGAAATATAAAAGAAATAAATTAGAGTTTACTACTGGAAAGAGTTATTATATAATTTTTCCAGTTCCCAAATTAAGGATGGAAAGGTATAATTTAATTTCAAATTACTTTAGTAAATTATTTTTTAAATTTTAATTAAATATTATTTTTTATATTTAGGAATGATAATAGGGCTGTGCTGTACCATTATTAAATATCAGTATCGGTGCCGAAATTAGACTTTTAAAAAATATCGGATAGGCCGATATTCTATCTACATATTTTATAGATATTTTTATTCCTTTTTAGTAAAATCTTAATTTAAAAATTAACAATGATAATTTCAAATATTTATTAACAAATCCCTTAGAGAAATCACGAATATCAAATATCCCATAATTTCTAATTGTAATATCCTTCCACTAAACAAACTATTAAATTACAGAAAATTATAATTGTTATGTCAGACATAATCAAACAAGTACTATCACTAAATCACTAAAATATAGTGTTGTAAACGAACGCGTTCAACGAAGTTCGTTTTTTTGAAAAAAGGTGATGAACGGCGTTCCTTTTTTTTGACGAACTTTGAACGTGAACGCGTTCCTTTTCTTTGATGAACGCGTTCAATTTACGTTCGTTCAATTTTAAAAACACTTTTTATTTTTATTTATTTGAAAAATTAATATTAATCCGCATTTTTTAACAAAAAAGTCTTATATTTTTATTTATTTGAAAAATTAATATTTAATCCAATTTTTTAACAAAAAAGTCTTATATTTTTTAATCAGCTGTTTTTACTTTTTCCTTTTTCATATTGCAATTAACGTACCATAGTGCTACTGCTAGAGAAGATAAGATTAAAGTTTATTAATTTGAATATTTTATATTTTAATTTAATAGATTAGCATTTGCATGGATATAAATATTTCATCATCAGATTCTGAAAATCAAAATTCAATATTAGATGAATTAGAATTACCATGGCCCAAATATGAAAAATATTTCACTGTTTTAAAATCAATTCCGAGATATCCTTTTTTTTGACTAGGAAGAAGAGGGCAGATTGGAGGATGATAACATAGCTCAATTTTTTGAAACAATGGATAAAACATTAAATGTTTTTAATAAATTCCCCCTTTTAAAAGAATTGTTTATCAAGTATAACACCGCAATCCCTTCATCTGCCCCTGTTGAGCGAGTTTTTAGTATAGCTAACGCTGTATTAACTGACAAGCGTTCATGCCTATCAGATGAAAATTTTGAAAAGCAATTATTATTAAAAATTAATAAGAAATTTTTTTTATAAATTTATTTTTTTATCGCTCTATTATATTGTATTTATAATTATATTATCAAAATAAAACTATTATTTTTTATCATGGCTAATATATTGTGTTGAAAAATATAAGGCATTTATTTATATTAAATTAAATTAAAAAAAAAATTTATCATAAAATTTTGAACGTATGAACGCGTTCATGAACTTGAACGTATGAACGCGTTCATGAACTTGAACGCGTTCCTTTTTTTGAATTTGAACGTGAACGCGTTCGATTTTGGTCAATGAACGTTGAACGCGTTCGATTTTTTTAAAAATGTTTACAGCACTACTAAAATATAAAATCAAAAATAATAAAAAAGAATACTACAACCATACTAAATCCTGACATGAGCACGCATTACAAATCCTTATTTAAAATAATGTTAAAATCTATTTCTGAATAACATATCTTAAAAAAATCACAACCAAAAGAATGGTTAAACCAAACTCAACTTGAATAAAAATATATAAATTCAAATAAATAATTTTAAAAAATTAACAATAGTAATAAACACACATAATTAAACTCAAAATACATAAATTTAATTCAACATCAAAAATATATATAAATTAATGTTGTAACGAAGTTCGTTTGTTTGAAAAATTAAGAATGACGTTCCTTTCATTTTTGACGATTTTTGAAAGTGAACGCGTTCGTTTTTAAGATCGTTCAATTTTAAAAATCTTATTTTTATTCATTAGAAAAATAAAAAATATTAATCCAATTTTTAAAGAAAAAAGGGTTATTTTTATTATTAAAAATTAGTAAGAAATTTATTTTTAATATATAAAAATAATATGTTAAAAAATATATGGTATTTATTTATATTAAATTAAATACAATTTAAAAAAAAAATTTATTAAAGTTTTGAACGAAAGTGAAATTGTTCGATTTTGTTAATGAACATTGAACACGTATTTTTTTAGAAATGTTTACAGTCGAGATCTGCAAAAGTAGACCCGGCCCAGGCTGGGTCGGGCCTAATATTTTTTAAGAGAATTCGGACTGGGTCGGGTCTAATATTTTTAAGAGAATTCAGACTGGGTAGGGTAGTTGGAAATTTTCTTAAATATATTTAAAATTATCAATTTTATGTTGAAATTTTTGTAAAATAAAAATATTTGAATTTAATTATAGAAACTAAACGCCATATAACATATATCTTTTATTTTGATTAATTATAAAAATTAATTTTTATATTTAAATAAATTCAGGCCGGGCCGGTAAATTTTTTTTAAAAAAAATGATGGTTCGAGCCGTGCAAAACTTTTTAAAAAAAATTTGGGCAGGTAAAAAATTAGGCCCGATGCAGATAACTAGTTTACAGCACTAATATATATTTAAATTAAAAAACATAATTTTTATTTATTCATCTAATATTAACTTCCTTCATTATCATCACTATCTCTGTCTCAAACTTCATTAAAGGTAATTTATTATAATATTTCTATTACATACACATAGACTTTCCTTTATTTGAAAAAATATAAAGACCTTTCCTCGATTTTACTCGATACATGACAGTTAGTTTTAACTGCATTACAATGTACTTTCGAGCATTTCACTGGAAACGTCTGAAGGGTGGTGGAAGCCCCTTTATTGTGGGTTTCCCCAGAGTAGGATATGATAAGGGTATTTCTAAACTTATATATTTTTTATTTATCCATAATTTCACCTCAAAGTTTTTTCACAACTCTTCCGGAGAATGCAATCTTCAAAGCTTTCTCGCGACTCATTTGGGACATCTATTGTGAAATAAATTATTTTTATCATGATTCCTTCTGCATACTTTTTCTAAATGTTCTTTGATACCGCAATTATAACAAATTCCAACTAAATTTGGGCATTTTGGTTTTATATTGTTTTCTAACCCACAAAAATAACAACATTTCCTGCAGATAATTTTGTAAAGGTTATCATTTTGTCATCTCCATAGATGTAGAGATTTAAACAGCCTTTTTCCGGGTCAAGTCCGGAATATTGATAAACATCATTATTAATTTATACTGTATTATACATCTCGTTGGAATCACAACTGTTAGCTATTTTTAATTTACTTATATATTCTGTTATGGATTCTCCTTTTTCTTGTGAGGATTTATAAAAATTAAAAGTTTAACTAACTCATCATATGATGTTTTTGCTAATGTCCTTGGTAAACATAAAGTAAATAATCGTGAGGATACTTCTAGTTCAATATTAGCTAATAAAAAAGGGTTTTATCATCAATTTTCTGTATTGAACATATGAATACCATATGCGACAAGTAAATATTAATGTCGCAATCTTTTTCATTAAATTTCTCAACCAATGAACTATTTATGATTTTGAATACTTTATTTGAATATCAATCCCGCATGTATAAGTTTTCACAAGTAATTAATTATAATAATAATTTACAAGGTTAATTTAATCTATTTATATAAATTACCATTTACTTTAACTTTTTCCATACATATATTCATCAAATAAAGATACATAGTTTATTATACTTAAAATTTAATGAATATTGTAAATATAGTATTAGTTAGCATATAATTTTATACTTACTTGTATTATGGCTAAAATAAATAAGTGAAGATTTTGATCATGATTAAAAAATAATATGGAACAATATGTATAATTGTTCTTTAAGGGCTATAAAATAATAAAATAAAACATTATATATCTTATAGATACAAACCTTTCTATGAATTTAAAAATAAAGCATATTTTTAAAATTTTATAGTTTTGAAACTTTTTTTTTATTTTTAAGAGCCAGAATAAGTGAAAATTAAAATTTTTTTTAAAATAATTTATATACCGATTTTTATTATTCCATTGTCTTATATTATATAAAATAACTACAAAAAACAATGTAATTATAGGTATCGGATCCGTGAAAGTAGATCAGTGAAGCCCTAGATAATAATAATAAAGAAAAACAGTTCTATATCCGATTCCAAGTAACGTGCACTTCCTTTTAATTATTAATGTTAATTTAATGTATCATTGAATATATTAATTTTAGAGTTTTACAAAAAACCATGAATTAACGAAATCAATGAGATCTTCGGAAAACCAATGTTTAGAGCTGATATCGATCCCTTTGGTGTCAATATTTTCGTAATTAATCGTGTGTGCTAATGTTTGGCGTGAGGAATTACCTACATAATTGTTTTACAAAATTTTTTTTATTTTCTTTAAAATCATTTTAATTTACAAATCACTATCCATTATTGTAATTCCTTCTTATGATCTATTGCTTGCTTAGCAATTTTATTTTCCCTTCGCATCTGATATTTTATCAATATCTGCTGTTTCTTTCCTTTTTTTAATTTTATATTTCTTTAAAAATCTCGATATACTAACTTAATTTTGGAGCATCCCCGTGAACGATCTGAGCTAATTGTTCAAAAACGCTATTCCATTTGGGATAAGGGAACGTCCCAATACACACCTCTAAAAGTGTTATACCTTTGTTCAATATTTTTAAATAAGAAAAAATTGAGGGAAATTATTTATACAAATTACATTTTAAAAGATTTTATGAATTGTGTTCTAATTTTTTTTAGACATTTAATTAATATTTGTATTTTAAAAAAATTATTATTTGCAATCCTTCTTAACTTATCATACTAACTAAAACAATGAATGGTATAAATTACGCTATATTGGTATTCAATATAGACTAATTTAACTATCATATATTACCCGAATATAAATAAATATATATAATTACCCAAACTCCATACATCGGACCTGACACCATAACCCTTGGGACAACTAGGATCTATTCTTTCTGGCTTTAATATAAATATAATATTATCTTATATAATCTCTATTATAATTAAAATGAAATTTTTATATTATCAATTTTGTCATAATTTCTGGTATATATTAATAATATAATACATATAGAATATTTAAGTAATTTATCGATTTATATTAAATATTGTTATTTCAAAACACTTATATAAATTACAAAACTGAGGTTATCTAATATATAGAATAGAATGACTATGGATGAATCCAAGACAGAAAATTATGATATAATAAAAGAGAACAACTCTGATAATAATTTTCAGTTGATTAGAATCTTTAAAACGTCAAAACCAACATTTTTTAAATAATAGTTTTACCATATCTGGGACAAAAATCAATCTAAAAATAATATTGTCTTTTTTGTATTTGTATTTAGTAGAATAATATGAGTATTTAGTATTTTAAATACTAAAAAAAATAAAAAGAATCATGTATTGTCATATATTGAGAATATGTGAGGTAGCGAATAGTAAAAAAAAAGAAGAAGAAACAAAAAGATCTTCGAACAAATTTTTCTATGTGAATTTTAAATATCATATTTTTGAAGTGTATAAAGAAAAAATTATATGATTTGTTACTATTTAAATAATATTTACTGTTATTTTAAAATATTGAATAAAACTAACTAGTATTATCAAAATTATTATAAGATTAACTTTTAGGTACACAAACAGCAAATATGATACTGATGCCTAAGGATAAAAATAAATAAAAGTTTAACCGGTTCAGTTAATTCAATCCCTTGGGTGTGCGGCATGGCAATAGAAGAGGTTTTGATGGTTTATGGAAGTTATAAAAATAGAAATGAATATGGTAGCATGATAGGTCAAATTATGGTACGTTTAAATTAGGTATAAATAAAATTTAACAACTAAATATGTTGAATGTTTCTTTAAATTAAAACATTATAATTATAAATAAATATTTTATATATGATATAGAGATATTAAAATGGAAATATTAATAATTATAAGGAAAGATGAATATGAAAATTAAATGGAAATTGATAATTTGGAAAACTGGAGACATGGATAGGGGAGAAGTAAGGAATGGATAGGATATATATTAGACCTGCAGAGGACCATTTGTACGCCCAGTAGTATTTTTTTTTAATTTTCAGCCTGGTTTGGATTTAATTTTTTTCGGCCCTGCCGGGTTTTATATTTTCAGACCTGACCCTTATTTTTTAAATCTATTTTTAATTTTTAAAGCTAATATTTTAATAATTGGTTTTAAAATATAGGCCCAGCCCAAGTATTTTTTAAAAAAGCTGGCATATGTATATTTAAAAACCGGGCTTAGGGCGGGCCTGCAGGTCTATATAATTACAATAAAATTTAAAATTAAGGAATGTTTTTGCAAATAAATATATATTTTATATAAAATATAGGGATATTAGAAGTGATAAATTATAAGGAGAGAAATAAAATGAGGATGTATATTTTAATGTAGAAAAGAAATGATAATAAATAAAAAAAAATTGAGTTATGGGAAATTAAATAAACAAGAAAGGGAAGATGAAAGGAGTTATATTTTTAAAAATTATAAATGGAGAATTGCGAGAAGAAATATTTGGGGAGGTGGTAAAGAAAATTAATAAATTACATATAAGAAATTAAGGTAAAAGAATAAAAAAAAGATTATTTATATAATTGTATAGCCAGATCAATTTAGGCGTGCATCAAAATACAAGCCACATTTGGGAGATTATGGTAAAGGGGTGAAAATAAAAAAGTTTATAATTGTTCAGCCACAAAATTTAACATCAGAATACTAAGCCCACAATTGGGAATTAAGGTAAAGAGAGGAAAATAGGGGAAATAATTTTAATGTTCTGGTTGGATAATTTTTCTAGGCTTGCATCAGAGCACATATAAGCTATATTACCATAATTTTTCTGATAAAAAATTAAATAACTTTATGTTTGATAAATTTTGTAAAAATATAGGTATTATAAACATTTTAACAACTACCATCTAGACTCTATGGATAAGCGGAAAGATCATAGGGTTAGTAAAATCTTGGTTAAAAAAGTCGAAGGAACAAGGGGAAGATGTAAGGATTTCGTGGTTATATTTAATAGCATGAATGCTATAGGAAAGTCCCCGTCTGTAATGTTTTTAGGAAGGAAAACTCAATTATTTTTAAATATATAAAGAATAATATTAGTTAATGAAATTAGCATGACCAGGCATGAGGAGCAATTAAGATGAAGAGAATAAAAAGTTCATTACGCCGTTAAACCGATAACGAATTACGAAAGATTAAATTCATTCGTATTCAAATTTGATCCGAAATTTATATTTTCTTCATGAACAATATGTAGGTTTATATACATGCAGTATAATTTTATGCATTCTACATAAATTTTTTAGTTCTTTTCCGAGGCATTTATTTTATAATGATTCATACGCCAGTTACATACGTTTAATATTTTATCATTAATTTATATTTGAATTTCTGTATTAGAAATTATCAATATTTTAGTAATAGCCCTTTCTTTAACTCCTAGAAGAATTTTTAATTATCCCCCCCCCCTTTTTCCACAGCAACACGCCATCTTTGGTTTCTCATATAAAAAATTTACATTATAATTTTATGAAAAAATTAGTTTCATTTATAATAAAAAAAATTATATGCAAATCCTAAATGGCATGTTTTAACTGATTTGTGTTGACGCTTCAAAATGCATTTTAATGTATGATCATTATAGCATTATATGTCAATGACTTGAGCATACATTGTAATTATGGATTCAATTTCCCTGCAATTTCCTAGTTAAAGTTTTTTAAAAAAATATGAGAGAGCCATATCTTTGCTGGTATAAACAAACAACACTTAGAGGGTGATAGGTATTATGACACATGACTATTAATATTGTAGTAATTCTATTTAATAATATATTTTATTCCAATAATATCTTTATTTGTTTTTTTATGTCCTTTTATATAAAATACATTTATTTATTTATTTTTTAATACATTAATTTAATTGAATATATTTTATCTCTTTATTATGCCTTGAAGGTAATCTATTACATCTATCCTCTCCCCCCTTTTTTTATGCTCTCGATTTGGAACGGTATAAATTGTTTTCTTAATCGTATTGGATAACGGCTACTTGTACTTTTGTTCTCTAACATGGTTTGATCAGTCGTGTCGATGTCACTCTTATCATTTATGATGGCATCTTTGTTTATTGAGTCTTGTATCGGATCAATATCTTTTCTCATCACGTCATGTATCAGCTCAATGTCTTTTTCTATAGAGTTTTGTATAGGATCACTTTCATTCATTCGAGGTGTTATTTGTATCGGTTCTCTTTCTCTTCCTTCCTCTCCATTTTTAATATCGGAATCATTGAACCTATGTTTTAACTGATTAATATGTCTTCTCCATAACCCTAATCTAGTCTCAGCTAAAAACGTCATTGGACCTGTTCTTTTACGATGATTCCTGGTATCCAAATATCTTTCTTAAAATCTTTTGCATATATTTTCTCATTTATATTAAAAAAACCTGGTAGCTGAGGTATGTATGGATGTAGATAAAATGGTTTTATTAATTGTAAAGGTCCTATAGGTTGAAATTTAAGCATCATTGAACTTGGTGATTGTTTAGTGGTTATTTGTGGCGTATTTCGATAATTAAATAAAAAATCTTGTATTTTATCATAATCATCATGTTTTTTTAAAAACTTTTAAAAGTTTGTACTAGCCGCTCTGCTTCTCCGTTGGTTCTAGGGTGATACGGCGCACTATATACATTTCTAGTGGATAATTGTTTGCAAAATAAACTGAATTCTCTACTTTGAAAGGGGGGGGGCATTATCCGTAACAATCGTATTGGGGTAACCAAAAATAGCAAAAAGTCTTAACTCAGTAAAATTATTAGTCGATATTTTTTTATTTCAGGCCATTTACTAAAACTATCTATTATTACTAGATATATATCTCCGTTAATGGGTCCGGCAAAATCTAAATGAATTCTCCCCCATGGTTTATTTGCGGAGGGCCATTTCCCTATGATTGTTTTATTTCCAGGATTATTTGTCTGATATAGTTCACAATTCCTACCGTGTAATTCAATATCTTCGCTAATATTTGGCCACAACATTCTCTTGTGCCAATAATTTTGTTTTAGTATACCCCTGATGCCCCATATGTAAAAAAGACAAAATATTTACTTGTAATTTTTTTGGAATTATGGTTCTTAAACCCCATAATATACATCCTGCTTCCACCGTGAGTTCATTTCGGCGCTGGAAAAACGGTTTTAGATTTTCCTCTATTATCTTCGGCCACCCAGTTGCAATGTAACGTGACACCTTTGATAATACCGGGTCATTTCTTGTGTGTGCTTTTATATCTAACGCTGAAATAAATTGTGGAGCATCCGATACTATTAAATTAATATCTAACTCTTCCCAAGTAGATGGTTCACCGTCAATTGGGAACCGGGATAGCATATCCGCATTACTATTTTTTTTGTCCCTTTCAGTTGCAATTCATAATCATAATTGGCTAGTAATAATGACCACCGTACTAATCTTGAGGACATATCTGTAATTCTTTTATGTGGATTGAGTAACGATATCAGTAGTTTATGATCTGTAATAATAATAAAATGTTTGCCAATTAAATATTGTTTAAATTTAATTAGTCCAAATATATTTGCTAAAGCTTCACGCTCTATCTGACTATAATTTCGTTCGGCTGCATTTAATGTTCGAGACGCAAATCCAATTGGTTTTTCCTCGTTGTTAATTATATGAAATGTAACGGATCCTATTCCTTGTTGCGACGCATCCGCAGCTAGAATTATCGGTTTTCCCGGATTATAATGAGTTAAAATTGGTGCTTCTGATATTATTTTTTCAAAATTATTAATTACTATTGTTTCATTATTCGTCCATTTCCAAGGCACGTTTTTTCGTAACAGTCGATATAATGGCGCGGCCATCGTTGAACAGTTCTTTATAAATTTTTGATAATAGTTAATTATCCCGATAAAAGCTGGTAATTCTTTAACGTTTTTCGGTAACGGTGCGTCTAAAATTGCATTGACTTTTTATTTGTTGTTGCGATCCCCTCTTCGCTAATGGCGTGACCTAAGAATTCAATCTTTTCTTTAAAATTTCATACCGTTTGTTTCTAACGTCTTTAGCACATTTATCAATTTTTTTTTATGATTCTCAATTGATTCCCCAGTAATTATTATATCGTCCAAATATACCGTTACCCCGGGTAGTCCTTTTAATAAAGAATCCATTGCTTGTTGGAAAATGGCTGGTGCTGAGGCTACCCCGAACAGAAATCGTGTAAAGCGATACAATCCACTCGGCGTGTTGATCACTAACAGCTTTTTTGCCTCGTCATCTAGCTCTATTTGAAAATATGCTTCGGATAAATCTAATACCGTATATTTGGATCCATTACCTAGTTTGGCTAATAATTCATTAATTCTGGGTAAAGGATACTTATCAATCAAAATATTAGCATTAACCGTTTGTCGGAAATCACCACAGATTCGTAAGGATCCATATTTCAGTATCGGCACAATCGGAGATATTCGAGTATTTTAGCCTTTCTATAACTCCCATGGATTCCAGTCGTTGCAATTCCGTTTCTAGTTTTTCCTTCCACGCAAAAGGAATCGGTCTGCTTTTAAGACATTGAAAGTTGGGGTTGGGTTTTACAGATAGCTTTGCTTTAAACTCTTTCAGTAAACCTAACTTCTTAGTAAATAATGATGAAAATTTATGTTCAATTTTATCCTCCCAAACCTCATTAACTGTATTACATTTATTTATTTTTATTAACTTTAATTGGTTTATTAAATTTATACCTATCAAATTAATACCATTGTTTACAATTATAAATTCATGATATATAATTTGATTCGTATAATTAACGGGTAATATACATTTACCTTGAATCTCGATTAATACATTATTATTAAAAGATGTTAAAATGGTGTCCGACTTTTTTATTGGTCTTTTTAAACGATCAACTTCTTTTATATTTAAAATGGAGACTGCTGATCCTGTGTCAATTAAAAAGTTAATATAAATTTTATCTATCAATAATTTCACCTCAAATCTTGCTCGTGACTCCTCTGAAGAATCCCAATACTCAATTTTTTCTTGCTCCTTTTCTGGAATATCTATCGTTCGAATATATTCTTTCTTAACATGCTTCCTTCTGCATACTTTCTGTAAATGTCCTTTTATTCCACAATTATGACAGATGGTATTTAGATTAGGGCACTGCGATTTTATGTGATTTTCTAATCCACAACAATAACAAATAATTTTTGAAACTGGTTTATACTTATTATACTGTTCCCTTGTTACTGTTGATATTTTATTTATCTCCTTTCCTGCAGATAATTTTTCATATGAAATCATTTCTGTTGTCTCCATTGAAGTAGCGATTTGTACAGCCTTTTCCCATGTCAAGTCCGGCGTGTTAATTAATTTCAATAATATTTTTTCATTAGTAATTCCCGACACTAATTTATCCCGTAATACTGTATTATACATCTCTTTGAATTCAGACGTCTTTGCTTTATCTTTAATTTATTTATATATTCTGTAATTTTTTCTCCTCTTTCTTGTTTAGTTTTAAAAAAAAATAATATCTCTCCAGTATAAAATTCGTTTTCTTCGCATAATAATTTTTTAATAGTATAATTATATCATCATATGACACTTCCTCTAATGTCTTTGGCAAACGCAACGTAAATAATTTTAAATAAACCTCAAGTCCAATATTTGCTAATAAAAATGACTTTTTGTCTTCTATTTTGGCGATTTTAAAAATGAATTCTATCTTTGATAAATAAACTTCCATTTCACACTCCTTTATATTAAATTTTTCCATTTGAAACTGCGCCATGTAGTAATTCTATTTAATATTTTATTTAATAATATATTTTATTCCAATAATATCTATATTTGTTTTTTTATGTCCTTTTATATAAAATACATGTATTAAGGTGTGCAATTGTTTGATTTTTTTAAATTTTAATTGGTCAGTTTGGCTATTTATTTTATTTCAATATATTTTTATTAAAACATAAATATGCAATATTATAAATAAAAAAAATTCATTAATTTATAAGCCAGTGCTCATCCTGTAAAATATTTCGAATTCACCTGAGTCAATTGTTTTAAAAATATTTTTTAACCTGCGCAGTGCGGTTATAACTCTACAGCCTATGAAATAAAATAACTATAAATTTTTCGATTTTTGAAAAATGATATGATCAGTCACAAGTAAAAAAAATCTATTTCCAATAGCTATTCGTCAGAATGTATTAGGGTTTAAATTTTTTTTGAAGTTTTATTGTAGATATTAAAAAAATATTTTTTATTCAAATATTTTTTTGAAAATTTGCCCTACTCTGATTATGAACAGTGCGTTTCTTTAAAATAGTTGTTTTTTATTAAAATCAATTCGTGTATTCAATAAAGTAAATATTCTTTTAAAGTTATTTTAAAATTATATATACAAAAAAGCTTCCAATACTAATAAAAAACATATATTTATTTACTTACCGCCATATAAGGCCTACAACCCGCGTCCCTGGTTTTAGCAATAGAATCTACCAGTTTTCCGGATATGCCAAAATCGCATAGCTTTACGTTACCATATTGGTCTAGGAGAATGTTGGACGGTTTAATATCTATGTTTGTTTTCAGTTAAAATCTATATAAAGTGATGCATCTTGTTTTGTTTTAAATATCGCCATCAGGAGATATTTAGCTAATTTATAAAAAAAGAGGAAAAAAACAAAATTTCATGTTTTTCCAGAAAAAATTAATAATTCTTATTTTTTTAAAAAAACTTAATTAAAATATAATTCTCTGAGATAGAAATATTTTACATTTTATTCAATTTAAATTTAATAAAATTTATATTTTATAAACAAAGAAAAGGCAAATTTCTTGTAAAATCAGATTTTAAAAAAATCATTCATAATTACTTTAAATTCAAACTCAATCTTCAATTTGGGAAGAAAATATATAAGATAACATCTAACCAAACATTGAAGGGGGCAATTTATTTTATAAGAGACCTGCAGAGGTAATATTTGTACGGTCTAGCCTGGATTTTTTTAAAAATAAATTTCAGCCAGACTGGTACGGATTTTTAAAAAAATAATTAATTCAGCCTATTAGTGTTTACAATGATCCGGTCCTTTTTTTCTAAAATGAGATCTGGCAAATCGACTGTTAAGTCAAGTGAGTCCAGACCGTGGGACCATCGGTCCAGTCCAGTCCCATCTAAAAAAATAAAAGTTTTATTCTGCATTAAATTTATTAAAAATGAAAAGTGTTAAATTACCAATATTTAATTATATCATCAAATCATTTTTATTATATATAAAAATGCCCAATATTTCAAAAGAATATTAAACCAATACAAATTTATTGAATATCATTTAAATCAATTTGATTTGCATATTTAATTAGTTTTTTGATATATATATATAATGCGATCGATATTTGGTTGTAAAATAAAACCGATTTATATATAAATATTCTTATTATCTCCTAAAAAATCAAAAATTATTCTATTTTTTTATCCATGATTCAAGTGTCATTAGATTGAACCATCTTTGGATTCATTCTATTTCGCTTTTTTGTTATTTTATCACTAGCTTTCAGTTCACATGCAGCTGATATAGCCTGCTGTGGGAGATAGTTCATTGCTATTTTGGCTAGAATTGGAAATTGCTTCCCACTAATCTAGTGTGTTGGAATTAATTGGATATAAAATATCAGATAAATCGCTTTGGATTTCATTTATATCATCTTTCTCTGATGTCCCAGTTCTCATGAGCATATCCCTGTCTCTTCTCTCCCGCTTTGAGCTCTCATTTTGACATACTATATCCATAGTTTACTCGTGCTTGAAGAATTGGAAAATATCTGTAGACATATTTTACATGTTTTACCAGCATTATCCTTTTTTAAAAAACTTATATAATTCTACATCTTTCAAATTAGAATTTGATCGATTTTTTTAATCATTCTTTAACCACCTGAAGAGGGTGGTGGTTCAATAGTATTATCAACTTCTATGATTTCAGTATCCATTTATAAAAATTAAAATATACCTACCCTACTAAATTAAATTACTTGACGAATGAATTGAATGAAACGGAAGGATAAAAGGTACGATGAATGAGATATATAAAGTGTTAGGCATTAAATAGTCATGTTTTATGTGTTCATGTACATGTACATTAACTAAAAAGCAATTCATAGTATACTTTTATCTTCTTTAATCGGTCATCGATCAGACCGGACCGTGTCGTCGGACCCAAAGGTCAGGTGAGACCAAACTAGACCGGACCGTCGGTCCGAAGGGATCACTGCAAACACTAAGGCCTATTATATTTATTTTTAATTTTTATAAATATTAATGGTGATTTAAAATACTCGGCCCAGCCTGACACGAGTATTTTTATTTAAAAAAATTTTAAGCCCAATTCGGTTATTTTTTTAAATTTTTTTTAGGTCGACTAGGTCTGCAGATCCTTGAATTTTATATATTCCTCTACCCCAATTAACGCCTATTTTTACCTACTTAATTTTATCGTTAATATCTCTAAACCAATATTTATAAGGTGATAGATACAGGAAGTCTAAGAATATGGAATAACGAATGAGCACTCCTCTCAGTTCATAGCTTGATTTTATAACTCAAGTCAAAGATGTTATAAATAAAATAATTCCAACACAAAATTTGGTATTAAATTGTAGTCATATAGTAGAGAACTGCCGACCAGAGCCTTAAAATAAATTTTTAACCAGGGTGATGTCGGAAAAAAATAAACATAAAAACCGGAATGGAAAAAAAACAGGGAGTGGGGTTATCAAAATATAAAATCTTACTAATTATGACCGAGCTTGAATGATATATTCGCGCCAGGCTGTAATAAACCAACCTAAGCCCAAATCAGGACAAACATAGTTTAGGCAAATCAATCTTAGAACTCAAAAAGTAAAAACTAGGACATTTAATATATAAATTTTACAAGTAAAATATTACATATTTTGGTTTTCCATCCATAAATATAAGTAACTTCAGAATTCTTACTTTCCATTGTCAACCTTAGCCAAATTTATATCCCTATTTAAAAATTATTTATTAAGCAACTTAATAATTAAATTGCTTCACCCGAGCATAAATTAGTAATATATTTTAGAATTTAACAAATTTTTTATCTTTATAAGCCATTTTTTGGACATGTAAATATATCCAAAAAAGTATTATTAAAAAAAAAATACCTCGATGAATAATTTTTAGCCTCTCCTTCAGGTAATTTAACGCTAACAGGGTCTATATATGGCATGAAAACAAATAAAATAGATAACATATATAGCAATATAACAGTTAAATAATAAACATTTGGTAAAATTATCATTACTTTTGATTAGTGTTGTTAAATAGTCGAGTTCTCCTGATTCAAATTCCGAGTCGAAGTGACAATAACTAGACTCATTTTTTTTTACGATTCGAGTTCTGAACTTAAGCGTGAACTCAATAAATAGGTTAACTTAAATTTATGAAACTCAATTACTTATATAAGTGTAATTTATTGGTTGGTTGTATAAAACCCAGATCTGGGGCTTGGGTCTATAAATCGACTAAACTAGCTATGAGCACGATCCCGAGCACAGACCAATATATTTTTAGTTGTTTGTTCTTGGCCTTATTAAGGTATATAAATATATGGTTCTTAAAGGTATCAATCGATAACTAATTAGATCTATTGAATAAGTAGCAAACAAGCGCTACTTCTCGATCGGAGAAGCTATTACTACGTGTCAGGAATAATTTTATCAGCACCATATATAGATATGATGATGGATGGATATCAAATAAATCTAGCTCTACCTTAATATGGTGTATATAAGATTGACCTGGGAGCGGGGGTAAAAAATAAATATGGTTACTCATATATTTGTTAGTGAAATTATTTTTTTGACCATCGCATTTCTCTTAATGGGCATGTCTAGATTTTAACATTTTATTTTTAACTTTTGTAAATGAAAAATATCTGCTAGATTGCCAAATTACGGTTTAATTCGGGTTCAGGAATTTTAAACTCTATTTAACGGAAATTTTGATAACATGAAACTAATCGGAAAAATCAATTCCTAAAATTATTATCCTTTGTTTGGAAATAAAGAAGGATTGCTCGTTACATTACCCAAAAACCGTTTGAAAAAAACGTTATGCACGGAAATTATCGTATTTATTATACCTAAGCTCTTTCTTGATTTAAATATGGAAGATTATAATCTTCAAATAGTGTAAGACATAATCGAATTAGGTAATTAAAAGGCAAATTTGAGGATTAAGATGTTTAATTGATATATTTTTTTAAAAACTCCTAGAATTTATGAACCCCAAACTATTTTTCTCCTGAAATATTGTCCTGATCGGTTATTGCCACTTTCGAGGGGTATATTAATTATTTTATTTTTTATGTTATTTTTTTTTAAGATATTTTAAAAAAGTTTTCTACAAATTTTTATTTAAAATATTTTCTACAAAATTTTGTATTAGGGGTAAAATATAGGAATTCTTAATTCCGCAGCATTTATGTATGGGGGAGGGAGGTGGGTAGGGGAATTTTGCCTACAAATGTAATTTTTTATTTAAGATATTTTAAAATAGATTTTTCTACAAAATATTTGGTAGATGAAATCTTGCAATTAAATTTTTTTTGGTGATAATACTATAATTAGAGGATGATCCCAAAATAAAAAAATACTTTGAGGAGAATTACTATACCTACAAAGTTTTTAAAGCGAGTATAAGGGTAAGGTAAATTTTGGTAGATGAAACTTTTGCATTTTTAATTTTTTTTGGTTATGATACTATAATTAAAGGAAATTCCATAAATAAATAAAATTTAAGCAACTTTAGGAAAATTAGCATAACTTTTTTCTGGAAATAAATAATAATCTAAAATTTTGTAATAGGGATAAACCCCACCTTTGAAGTTTAAGTGATTTTTTAACCTTGTGTTAGATTTGCGTAAATCATTTTAATATAAATTATATTTTTATATAATTAGTTGGTTTGTTATATGTTATCGACGGTTTTAAAGTATTAATTATAGTTATTTGAATATTCAGTTTTGTAAATTATTTTTTATGAATTTTAATGTACTTGTAATTTTTATTATTTTTTATCAACTTTAATATACTTGTAATTTTTTGGCATATTAAAAAAAAAAGTATATAAATGGGATAAAATTTTCAAATAAAATAGTTGTCTGGTTTTATAATTTTAAGAAACTTAGTGTTGTTGTGCAAAATTCAAGATATTAAATTTGGTTGAAAAAAAGGAGTTGTAAGATTGAATAACAAATATTTTTTTTATCTTCTCCTTTTATTAATACCATCCATTGAGTTTATTAAAGTCTCTCCCACAAGCCAATTTCATTTTTTGGTATTTATAAAAAAATTTTTTTTTTATTTATTTGTGAAATTTTTATAAAAAATTAGTAAGTACAATTTTTGGTTACTGCCACTCTCGGGGGGTATATCATTTTATTTTTTTTTGTTATTTTTTATTATCAATTTTTTATTTTTAAGTTATATTTTTGAGAATTTTGCATACAAATTTAATTTTTTTGTGGTAAAATATAGGAATTATTAATTCCGCATATTTAAGTTATATTTAGGAGAATTTTGCATACAAATTTAATTTTTTTTGTGGTGAAATATAAGAATTATTAATTCCGCATATTTTAGTTATATTTAGGAGAATTTTGCATACAAATTTAAATTTTTTTGTGGTAAAATATTAAAATTATTTTTATAGGAGAATTTTGCCTACAAATTATATTTTTTATTTAGGTCTACAAATTTTTATTGACCCCACCTTTGAAGTTTAAGTGATTTTTAACCTTTCTAGTGAAGGGTTAAATCGAAATATAGTAAATGACGCAATTAAATATAGTATTCAAATTTATACACGATATATAGTATTAAATACTCAATTTTATTCATTGAATCGAAATATATTATTAAAGTTAATACAATCATTTATAAAATGATTAAAAATGTCAGAACGATTTAACAATTTATATTTTCTAAAATATCTATATTCAAGAAGATATTCATGAATATTATCGCGATCCCCATGTCTTTTGTAGTTTGTTTTTAGATCCCGCCACAGCATTTCGACTTTTTGGGTGTGGATGGATCTGTCATTAGGATCAACAAATTTTCGAGAATGATTGACCCGATAATGGAAATAATTAGCTTGTTCTAGCCTATTATATCTAAGATAAATAGATTTAAATTTATTACCACTTTTGATTTACAGGAAAAATATATTTGCATACCCTAACCACGAGTCAGTCATTATCGTCGCTTGCATCACATTATCTTTAACCACAAGCAGTGTGGTATCTTGATCCCTTGTTGTTGTAGCAGTCAGAAAAATATCATTAGTCTCCCGACATATGCCACCAATACCACGATTATATTTGCGCTTCCACACATGAGTTTCATCAATTTCAATAACGCGGCCGGGTCCCCCGATCTTTGAATAATTGGAAGCTATATGGAACCCACATACTTTACGAAATTTTTTGAACCTACATAAGTGAAATAAAAAAACCATATTTTACTTTAAATTACCATCTAGAAATTGCATTCCTATCATAATCTAATTCTATCGAAGCATTTAAAATTGTATAACGGCCTAAAAATAATTTGGTTTTTGAATATTTTTTAAAGAATTAGTATATGTACAAGTACACTAGACTTAAAAATTTCCCAACGTCCCGAATCTCTTCAAAAATAGAATCTAAAAATTGGTCATTTATAATATCAAAATTAATATTACCTTTCCATATCGAATGTGATCTACGACACCTATTGCATCGGTATCGCAAACTCTTCTTGTTTTTTTCTACCCTCATTATGGAATTGCAACAAGTATGTTGTATTCCTGAAGGTATTAAATGGTTGTTTAGACAAAACTCATAAGTTGTTTCATCATTTTGGGCATATACACCCACTTTAAAAATATTCATTTTATAAAAAAAGAGGAAATAATATTAAGATTATATGGAAGAATAATCGAAAGTAAAAATTATTTTTTTTAAAAATTTGTAGGCAAAGTTTTCCTACTCCCTCTCTCCCCCATATATAAACGATGCGGAATTAAGAATTCCTATATTTTTTTGGTTCCATGTCAATTCAGCAAAAGTTTTATCGCGAAACACTTTTTAGCGAAACTTTTATCGCGAATGTCGTTTATCGCGAATGGATTTTATAGCGAAACTTTTATCGCGAATCCATAATAGCGAATACTATTCCACGAATGCAATATCGCGAAACAAATATCGCGAATTTTTTATAGCGAAACCTTTATAGCGAATACATTACCGCGAATACAATATAGCGAAACATATTTTTTATAGCGAAACCTTTAATGCGAATACATTACCGCGAAACTTTTATCGCGAATCAATAATCGCGAAAATTTTATAGCGAAACCTTTAAAGCGAATACATTACCGCGAAACTTTAATCTTGAATCAATAATCGCGAAAATTTTATAGCGAAGTTATTATCGCGAAACCCAAATAGCGAAGACAATGTAGCGACAATTATTTCGCGAAACATATATCGCGAAGATATTATAGAGAATTTAATATCGCGATAATTGCTAATAATGACTAATTTATTTTGAATCATTTTTTTATAATTATATTATTTGAATAATATTTTTTTAATTCACATAGTTTGTAATTTTCTTATAACCTTAAAAAATTTTTACAATGATTAATTAACTTAGGTCTGGTTTATGAAATTTGTTATTGAAATACACTTTTTTCGCTATCCTATCCTTTCCTTCGAAGTTCTTATTTTATAATAATCGCGCACAAGGAACTCAGCTTTATCAATATATTAATCATTGAGTTTATTAGTTAAATCTTGATATTTATTAGCGAAATTGATATCTGGGTAGCATTCCTATTTATTGTCTGATGACTTAATATTTATAAATTTATCAATCAATTTTGGCCAGGGTTAGCAAGTCAGTCAAATGACCAGATTTTGACGGGTCAATTGAACGGGAGAATATTTGACCTGGTCAAGTAGTCATATATTCTATAAGATCTGAATATAAAAATATGTTTGAAAAAGAAAAAACGATATAAATACATGTGAAATGTGATCACAATGCTTATTGAGTTCCTAATATTAAGGAGAGCATTTTAATCATAGTGAATTTAATGAAGTATGTAATATAATAAAAGAATTAGGCATACAAGGTGGTGATCAAAATATTTCAAGTTATATCATA